ATTCGTGTATCTGCGCGAAAACTTTCACTTTCGCACACTCCAAACACTTTTTTGATTTGTTTTCTGACATTCTATAGCCTGATGATTTGTGTACATTGGCGTGAAAAAAGTTTGTGCGCGCTACATCCGGTTCGGGATTTATGACTATAAGAAATTCCAAAAAGTTTAATTGCATTCAGGTGTACCAAAATTCTCATCATGGGCCGAAAATTTTGCACATAAACGCACACATGCATTTTTACATGGAACCACGGTTCTAGCATTTTTTCACATTTTTAAATTTTAAAATTCATTTTAAAATTTTAAAAAAATTGTACTGCTCTCATGCGGGGTAACAACGATCTTCATGCTTACGTGCATTTTGGCGCGAAATTTGAAGGAAATCGGCCCACAATGAGACTTTTGTACACCTGAATGCATTTCACCTTTTGAAATTTTCTTATAGCCGTAAATCCCGAACTGGATGTTGCGCGCACAAACGGTTTTCACGCCAATGTATACAAATCATCTGGCTACAGAATGTCATAAAACAAAGAAAAAAGTGTTTGGAGTGCGCGAAACTGATAGTTTTCGCGCAGATACACGAATTTGGTGCCATGTATCGGGTTAGTTCCTTTAAGCACAGTAATCTGAATTTAAAGGATCTGAATTTAAAGCTGCCTGAACGGATAGAATTGATAAGTGTGACCTCAGCCACTTCCCAGGGTCGTTTCTTGGATCCGATACGCATCCACTCGGCCATTGCCTCCCGGTTCACGTTCCCCATGGACACATTGGTCTCATAAATCTCCCAGAATTTTGCCTCAATATCCACCGCATCCAGCTGCAACACAGCCTGCGGAATCATCACGACCATGCATTTTCTGCCGCCGTCCGGCTCGCAGTAAAGTTCACACCGGCGCAGCCGAACGTGATGGCAGTAGGGCGCCAACAACGGCAAGGTCCTGGCGAGACGCGGTATCAGCCAGGTCCTTCCATTGTCGTCGATACGGTCATCCCAAGCGAACTGCACACGATGGACGATGAGTTGCTGAATGTGGATGTTCTCCAGCAGTCCTTGAAAAAGCCCCAGCACACTGGCCCGGTTCTTCGCATCCGTTCGCTCCAGAATCACGCGCCGCGTCGTCCGATCCATGCAGTGCAGCAGACCGCTAACGGCGCCGAAGACCCGGGTGACATCGTCCGCTGTGCCATCCTCCGCTGTGCGGCTGAGTGCGACACACGGGTGCGTAAAGGCATTGCGGACCGTGGGGGAATAAAACGTAAAAATAATTATACGGAACATTACGAGCTGAGCACTCGCCGGAATATGGTGCAGTTCCTGTTTTTATTTTTACACGCCCTTACAGTCTGGACGCAGTCCGTAATCAGGAATACGGGGTGGTTTGTAAACTGTTCAGTTTACTCGTAGTCGTTATCCGACAAAGTATAATTATAATGTGTTTAATAATCGGTTAATTTGTATAATTATAACTGTATGCAGCAAGCAGTGTAAACAGGAAATTCATCTGTCAACTTGTAAGTGTCAACTTGTAATCAACTTGTTAAAGGAGATCGGTAAAAAACTGTTTATGAGAACAGGCGAGAGTCGTTCCATTTGTTTTCTGTTTCAGCGTTCAAGTTTGGAGATTATGCGTGGTAATGCTATGAGTGTATTGTGCGCAGTCCCTTCTCGTGTTAACTGGGACAAATTCTTTACTTGTAAGTTAAAAGTGCACTTCATACGTACCACATCGTCGTCTGTCAGGGGTGCCGCGTGCTTGCGCTGCACATACTTGAGTGTGTCGCTACGCACCGAATGAAAGCCAACATTCGTGGAGCGTTGCAAGCACTGACGAAAATGATCCGATGCCAGAAAAGAGACAGTCGAAACCAAATCACCCGACAGTCGATATTCCCGCCAGACGAAGAATCCCTCCTTCAGTGCTCGTTGGGCCAGATCCTGCTCGGACGGCGGGCAGCGCACTTGATCAGCGGTGAACAGTGCCGTTTGCTGGCGACCGTCCCATTCGACGGCAGCCAGCACCAGAACGATGTCACCAAAGGACCGGAATTCCCAGACACAACGCTGCAGGATTGCGCGGGATACCACAGCCACGCCGCACCCCGATGCGAGCGCCACAGCACCTGCACACTGTTCTTCTCCAGCAGTGCGGGATTCCGCTTTAATTCGTGCTGCCAGCGAAAGAGCCGAGACGGCTCAGTGGCCGCGTCGAAGAGGTTGTCGTAGCTGACGAAGTGAGCTCGCTGTCCGCTGCTGTGAAAATCCATAACCACACCGTTCTTCGCCACGTCCATCACGTCACCGTGTTGTAGGAGACCGCTGGCCGTCAGCACATTCACCGAGTTCCACCGGTGTACGGGTTCATCGAGACGGGATTCCAAACGCTTTTCTCCATAAAGATTCATTCTCGGCTGTGCGCCAGATGCACAGTACAAAAACGTAAACAGGCACGTACTGCGCTCACGGCTCAGGTAATCCTACGGGCCAGTGGTTCAGCAAAATTTACAGATAAATCCTAAATTCATTCAGTCTGATAGTTTTACGAGTATAATCATCATACGGAGCGCAGCAAGAAGTTCCAAAGATAAGGTATACGGTACTGGCACCCTCCACTCAGAGGAAATTTCAACGGGGAAATCACACGTGCATTGTACCAGATGCATTCATGATTCACATACTCGTACATGACCTGTGAAACTGTGACTCGTCACCCGGCGCGCTTGATACTAGTAATGTAAGCGCACCGCTTTCACCTAGCAACTGACCACTTCCGTTTCGCAACGTTCACTCAGTACAAACTACAAAGACGACAAGATTGATACCCATTACCCAGTGATCGCTGACTGTCGCCTATCGTAATTTGAATACAGTTAGATGGGTCTTCCAGCCAAGGTTGGGCAGTACTTTCTGAGCAGCAGGAAATGAATGCGTCATTTCAGTAGATTGACTGACTGTTAAGAAAGTAGCCAAGCCGGGTACAATTTGGCACTACACATATCCTGATATCCCTATTCACGAAGGGCAGCAAATACGATACTGTACTCTCGGTTCAATATGTCCCGGTTTTGTAAAGTATAACCAGTCATGCACTGTACGCGGTTCAAAACACTCGCTGAATCCGGTGAACATAAATCCGCCAATAAGCGTGATTGGCAGTAATACCCGTCAAATTAACGGCTAACGATCGGTTTTCGAGCGCGTGGAACAGTAACGGTTCAGTTTTTTCCGTGAGATTTCGCAGCCTAAATTTTCAGTTTCTTTCCACGGCGACAATAATGAATTTATTTTCGTAATGTCGAAAGGAGTTCCGAAAAATAATCTAAAATTTAAATCAAAACAAAAGTCAAAGTGGGGGTTTTAAGTGAAAGAATCAGACGGTTCTTTGGTTTACCAAAGAACCGTCTGATGTCGATTACTGGAGTACTCAAGGAAGGGTTCAAGCTGTTCAGACGGTTCATTAAGCCTAAAAGACCGAACCCAATGAATTCCGTGACGTCAGTATAGTGTTGCATGGAAAGACCATACAAAACGGAGACATCGTGAGTCGAGAGTACAGTACTCGTACGGCTAGTCATGACACCACACTCCGTTAAACAACTGTAAGTCCATGTACAGAGGGTGATTTCGCAATATGCTTCCAGCACGGGAAAAAATTCCCAAAAATTTCCCTTTCTATTCTTTTTAGTTGGTTGCTAAACAGTCTTGTGGGACAAAGTGTGCCTAATTGTTCAAAATGATTTGTGGAGTTCGAGCGATCAACATGGCATGAAAAACCGATTGAAGAACAAGGTGCCGTGTGCTGGCGTTATTAACAATTTGTAAAAGCCACAGAAAAATCGCCGAGCGTTTGATGAGCAAAGGGATCGTTATTTCTCATACTAGGATAAATAAGCTTTTGAAACTATATGGGGCCGAGAGCGAAGGGAATAGTTCGCCTGTAAAACGCCTAGGAAATCAGTGCCCGCCCAAAGTTCCCACAAAGTCCCTCATCGCCGACGTCAAGAGGGCTATCTTAATACCGAATCCACCGTCTCAGAGACAGTTGGCAAGGAAATTTAGGACATCCCAGTACACGATATCGAAGATTATTCATCGTAATCTTGAAGCGAAAGTACGTAAAAAAGGCAAAGTACATGCACTGTCAAATAAACAGGCAGAACAGCGTGCTTCTCGTGGTCCCCGATTTGCCAAATTCTGAACCAGCGAAATTTGCCCTACATCAATTTAATCGACGCAGCATTAGTTTATCTTTATTATACGGGCTAGCGAAGAAAGATCTGCTACGAGTTTAAAGGATCCGAAAATTCCGAAAATTGGATGAAATTTTGGAAAGTTAAAAAACCGCAAGGTGTTACGTTTATCGCCAAAATTTTTTATCGTGGCCCAAGAAGGGCTTTCAGATAGAGCAAATATTAAAATAAAGTCTATGCGGCGGAGATTATAATAAATTTATGAATAAAGTGGAAGCATATTGCGAAATCACCCTCTGTACGCTAAGAATGTACCCCGTCAATGAATTGCCGTAGCTTAGACGCGCTCAGAGCGCGTCCTGCACAAGGCGCAAAGCCACAGAACAACCAGATCAGTATCAGGCAAACTATCAGTGAGATAAAACGGTTCGTTCCGTTACGACAGTAACCTTTGTTTTCTTTCTAGTAACAAATGTGGTACGTCTAATAAGCTTTGCATATTACTGCGTACTGCCGAGAGATAATGCATGACACAATCATAATGTTGATCTTCTTGCCGCGGCGAGGTCTGCTGAGCAATTTCGCCATCGGCACACGTCAACTAACCGTCATCTTATCTTCACGCTGTTGCGTTCCTACTTGGGATCAACTCACTACTTCGGATCGGATTGTGCGACATCGGTGTAATTTACCCGATGGATCTACGAAGGGGCCCCTCAACGTTGTACACTATGGGTCACCAACAGGCAACAGACCCACAGTCACCATAGGTCACCATCAAATCACCATCAGTCGCAAACTCTGTATTAAAACACAGCAATAAACATAATGGGATCCAGTAAAGCCTGCACCGTCCATGTATAATCCAGCACCAAATCCACCAAGTCCTGGGTGACGGGATCCAGCGTGATCCAGTCTTCCAGCAACAACCAGATCAACTGCGGCATCCATGCACACAACAGACTCACCGTCAACGCCAGCAGCATCCGAAAGGTCCGCGGATCCGCCACCATCTTGCGGCCATACAGCGACGACCCGCTGGTGATTGCCACACGACGGCGGGCACGTTGGCGTATCCCCTCAATCAACGGGTACAGCAGCACAATCGCCAGCGTCAGCAGCAAAAACAGCACGACAAAAACGACAGTCCCCCAGATTTGCACGGGGACGCTGAGATCCGACGAATAATCCGTCATATCCAGCAGACACACGTCGTTCTCTGATTGGTGGGTTAGTCGATACGCGAATAACGGTACGACGCACAGATGCACGACGATCCAGATCAAGCAGCAAATTCCAACGGCCAGCCGCAGAGTGTGGCGCTGTCGGTAGCTGTGCGGATGCAGCACCGCCCACAGGCGGTTGAGAGTGATGGCCAGATGCGAGTACACCAAAACGGCCATCAGCGCCCAATTGACGTAGGTGTAGAAGGCGCATTGGGTGGCGGTCAAGCAGGCGCTGTACGCTTTCTCCGCAATATCCAGCGGAATGTCCAGCAAATTCGTCAGGATGTTCATGATGAACAGATGGACGAGGTAGAAACTGAAGGCAGCGGAATAGCCGTTTCTTTTCGTGCGGTACAGGATAACCAGCGCCGCGGTGTTGATGGCGATGATTAATGTGAGTATGACAACATACACAGCCAGGATGGTTCGGTCGTTGAATGAGGTATGATCAGTTATGCGGTTGAAATTCGTCGTGGTAGTGTTATTCATTGCTGTGCAAAAGTTTGGTTAAAGCCCAGCTATCTCCCGCTATGTCGTGCGTAGACTGTCTTTTTTAATTTACGACAGCCTGCGGTTTACCTGGAAATAAATGAGATAAAATCGGTCCTTTCAATCTGGATTCTGCACCCTGACAGCCGGTTACTCGTCACATGCGCCTCACTGAATGTCGTGCTCGCACTTCGAATGACAATAGTTTACGGGCAGAGAATATTGTGTTAAAAAAAAAATTAAAATTGTTAATTAAAAAAAGTAAACGGATATAAACCAACAACGTATAACGGTCTAATGCGCATTTCACATAGGCGAGTATAGAGGGTTGCGCGACGAGCGGACACTCGTTCTATCGTGTCGACCACAGAGGCACTGAGCTGGCTGACATAAAAATGCTTAGAGGAGCACACCTAATCGGAATAATGGACCCGACCGAATCCAGTTTCCTCCTGATGTGCCGCTAAAAACAAAGTACTTCCTTCCGGCAGAGAAAAGTTATAAACATGTACATATTCCTTCGCAACATTATCCCGGGATTCCCGACGGAGTGCCGATGGCTGCGAATGTCCAGTAATTTTCGGCTGATTTTCTGCTGGGTGCCACGCCTGCGCCTGGAAAGCGAACTATAGTCGTCGTTCATAGCGGGCTGAATCACACAGAATCATGTTGTTGCAAATAGTGTCTATAGCGCGTCATTCCGGTCTGAGAGGTATTATAAATACACAGCGACGCTTGCGGGTCGTTCGTGGAAAGCAACAAGAGGTCCATTGCTGAACCATTGCGGAGAAGGTACGCATGCCGCCTAATTTAAAATGCTGTGTCAGCGCGGCGCCCCTTAAGTTCCATATGCGACACGGCGACGCAGACGTTGTTACAGGCTAGAAATAAGACATACCGGGTAAATATCGAGCCAGAATTTTGTCGACTGTTTCTGGCCTATTGAACGAAATACGTGTAATTAGTATTTTCAAGTGCCGCGGCATACCCGGCAAAGAAGTCCTTGCCATTGCGTTGAAAATGTCGGTAGCCTGTGTCATAGGTAGGGCTACCTATTATTCTATAATTATCTACAATGTAGAGAAACAGGGGTGTAGCTAAATAAACATTTTTATTCATAAGAGGGGATGAAAGGGAAGAATAACATGAAAAATCAACATGAGGGACAATGAAGATAAGGAAATGAACAGATATTCTATTTGTACAGGTGTACCAAATCAGAGTATTGCGTTTGCCCGTATCCGCATTTTACGCCTTGTATGTATGTACAGGCGTTGTGTTATATATCAGTTGCTTTGACAAACCGACGTAAATTATGGAAGTATTCATAGTGAATGTGTATGTGTACTATTGTACAGTATCTCATCTCGACCATTCTCACTTTTGGGCGCTCAGTTCGGCAAAAGTGCCATCGTCACTCGAGCCGGGCGGGTCTAGATAGAGCCGATGGAAAGCGGCCCGACGGTGTGACAGCCTTTCCTTGGAAAAATGGAAAGCCGCTGGTGTGGGATGTAACCGTGGCGGACACATTTGCCCAAACGTACATCGCACAGACGTCCAGAGTGCCGGGTAGTGCAGCGGAAATACGGGAAAACCGGAAGTTAGGAAAGTATAGCGGGCTGGCAGACCGTTACATCGTCCAACCGCTGGCGTTCGAAACCACTGGTACATTCGGTCCACTGACGAAGAAATTCTTCAAGGAACTATCGAGAAAGATTATCGACAGTACAGGCAACCCCCGCTCAGGAGAGTTTTTACGCCAAAAAATTGGTATTGAGATTCAGAGAGGAAATGCAGTTTCTGTTCTCGGTACATTTAGTGAAATGGTAGAGAAGGAAGATGTGTACTTTGCCTTTCATTTGGCTGAACGGAAATGATGTCATGTTCTCTTTTGTTAACTGATACTCTTGTATTACATTTCCCAACACTTTAAGTAAAGTTGTCCTACAAAAAAAAAACTTTTGTACTAATTATCATTTACAGATGTCACTAATCTGGGCAATAATTATAATGTGGCACTGGCACCCGCCAGTGGCATTGCAAGAGGCATGGCGAGCAACAAAACTTGGAGGCTCTGGCAACTGGCAAACGATAACAACTGGCAGATGTCGCAGAAAACGTGGCACAACTAATAAGCTGCTTCGAAGTGTTTGGTCAGCTGTATACTTCTTCAAAAGGTTGCCAGCACAGTGTCAGTTTTTATATATGGAACGTTTCGTACCAAAGAAAAAAACTGGAACGTTTTTTTCCTTCTTGTAGTCACTGTAGTCATCTGCAGACAACCTGTAGACTGTACATTTTTAATAACGGATCACCCACGTATTCAAATATTGACAAAATTTCGGAATTTACTGTTTTACGTAGTCACCACTTCCGTCTTACCTCGATACATAAATTTGCAAATCACACCATCTCGTGATAACGTGCTGGTGCATGATAGCAATTTATTTCAAACCATCACTTAAACACGTGTTAGAGAAACAGTTACAAAAACAACAGCTCGTTAAACATTTCGGCTTTCTCCACCGTGCCCAAAACAGAAACCGCATTACCACGCTGTATCTCTATGGACAAACGTTGTCGAAGAAATTCGTGCGAACGGGCTTCTCCTGAATGAGAACGTAATCTTTTCCCCAGTTCTTTTATGATGGCAATGGCCGCTGGTCCCCACGGGCCCATAGTTTCAAAAGCGATAGGTGTGAATATATAGCGGCCGTTTAAATAAGAATAGAACCTAGACTTCTTCTCTTCAGCCTGCAACGCGGCCGATCCCGCAATTGCCGAAGTAGATTTGATGTGGGAAGCGGCAACAGTATCCACGCAGGTGACATCCCATGCCAAGCACATTCCTCGCTGCCAGGCGAACGTTGTGCAGCCATCGGGGCGTCGTTCGCTGGTGTGGGAAGTGCCTCGGGGTTCAAGTTTAGCTGGGATTCCGGCTGATACAAAAGCCCGACATACGATACTGTTAAGGCCACCATGTCTTGGGTGTCTGCCGGCGGAGAAGGTACAGGAAAGACCATGATGAGCGTATCCGTCGACCTGTAGACACCCTGTAGACAGCCTGTATACATCCTAAGAAAACCTAAGAAACCAGGTGACTACAGTATGTCTATAGTGGTGTCTACGGGATGTCTACAAGTGACTACCGGTGTATACAGGCAGAGTATCAAGCTGATCCTAAGAAGGGCTACCTGTATACAGCGGTAGACATCCGTAGACAACCTGTAGACAGCCTGTAGACAACCTGTATACATCCTAAGAAAACCTAAGAAACCTAAGAAACCAGGTGACTACAGTATGTCTACAGGGGTGTTTACTACAGTGCGTCTACAGATGTATACAGCAGAACATCCAGCTGAACCTAAGAAGGCCTGCCTGTATACACCGGTAGACATCTGTAGACAACCGGTAGACACCCTGTAGACATCCAAAAAAAGCCTAAGAAACCAGGTGACTACAGTATGTCTACAGTGGTGTCTACGGGCTGTCTACAGGTGACTACCGGTGTATACAGGCAGAGTATCGAGCTGAACCTAAGAAGGGCTGCCTGTATACAGCGGTAGACATCCGTAGACAACCTGTAGACACCGTTGTAGACACGCTGTATACATCCTAAGAAACCAGGTGACTACCGATAGGTCTACAGGGTATCTACAGCATGTATACAGATGTCTACTGTGACTACAAGGAGCGAAAAAACGATTCACTTTTTTTCTTTGGTACGAAACGTTCCACAGGTGCAGTTTTACATATAATGTGTACAGCTGCCGGTGCCATTAAGAGAAAAAAACGCATAACAGCATACAATAAAAACACTGTATATTCATAACGAAAGCAACGATCTACTTAAGGGAAGTGACTAGGTACAGGATGCGAAATTCGCGCTAAAGGTTATTTCAAACGCTTTTTTGGGAAGGGTGATTAAGACGGTGAGGTTTTCTCGACGGCAAAAGGCACAGGTAAAGGTTCAGTTGAAAAAGGCTAACTGTAAGTGGAAATTGGAAAGTGGAAAGGCGCTAAAAGCAAGAAAAGGCAAAGGATAGGTATTAGGTAGTAAATGCAAGAAAAGGCAAAGGTAAACTTGGCTGACCCTATTTTGAGAGCAAGGTAATCTAATAACATCATACAGTAACTTAGTAACCACCAGTACCACAAGCGTCAAGCGATATTGTAGCGATAGACATTACACTGTACCGCCAGTAGGAGTGTTAACTGTATTTCTCTACTGATTGTTGGTTGTTGTGTTATGGAGACCAGAATCCTTATTTTCCTACATTTTCCCGACCGCATCTCACGGTCAGAAACATATTGAAATTAGTCTTGATGCCAATCTTGCTCCGCGCCTTCCGCGCTTCTTGCTCCACGCTTATGCGTCCTTGCCCCTCAGCTTGCTTTGCTCGCTGAATCTTGCTACGTGGTACTTGCTAATAAGCACTTGCGATGACCTGGTGTTGGGTGTATCTCTCGCCGTTGTTACCCACGTAAACGGTAGCCAGCTGCCGGTCAGCATCGCTGCCGACCGTGCCAGCCTTTCCCACACTAACAGGCGACAGATCGTGGTAAGGTCGATTAGCCAACCCACTAGAACAGCAGTCAAACCGGCTGCCGTTACAATATATTGATTGTACTGTACACATATTGCCTATTGGTGACTTGACTAGCCTAGCATATTCGATGTTATTCGAAACTCATGAGTCATGGGTATCCGTTTCGCTAGACCCCATGAGCTATTCAACGAAAGCGTGCTACAGCAGCCGTCAGTGTCACATGCAGAATCGGAGTAATTCACCCTCCTGTTAATTCGGCTAAATCTGGCTACCCACTCAGTCCCCGCGTCACGCGCCGAATGCGAGATTTCGACAGGGACAGAATGAGCGGACCGGTTGCGCATCTTCGGCCAATTTCCTAATGTAGAGCTATCAAGTTGTCGACATTATCCGCAGTTGCCGCTTATTGTCGAAAGGGTATCGGTTTCATCCCGATGCAGTTACGAACTGAGCATGCAAACAATGTGAAAACTCAGTTTTATACGTGTACATCAGTGCACTGCTGTATTGTCGCACAGAAACTTAAGGGAAAAAATAAAAATCGTTTTTTGGGATGAACAACATTGGGAGATAAGGACACCCGAATCTTGGGCTTGAAGCATTTGTTTGTTTTCGAAAACAAAGAACATGTTGACCAAATAAAGGTTACTTTCTTAATAGAACAAATCTTTCTATGGCAATGATCCCCACGCAACGGCCTGTTAAAACACAGCAATAAACATAATGGGATCCAGCAAGGCCTGCGCCGTCCACGTGTAATCCAGCACCAAATCCACGGTGGCCATCGTGACGGAATCCAGGATAATCCAGTCCTCCAACATCGACCAGATCAACTGCGGCATCCATGCGCACAACAAGCTCACCGTCAGCGCCAGCAGCACCCGGAAGGTTCTCGGATCAACCACGATCTTTTTCCGCCCATACAGCGATCCGTTAATGGTCGCCACGCGGCCGCGGGCGCGCTGGCGTAACCCTTCAATCAGCGGACAAGACAAGACAATCGCCAGCGTCGGCAGCAAAAACAAGAGGACAAAAATCACCGTCTCCCAGATTTGCACGGGTACGCTGAAATCCGCTGAATAATCCGTCATATCCAGCAGGCAGACGTCATTCTCTGATTGGTGGGTAAGTCGGTACGCGAATAACGGTACGACGCACAGATGCACGACGATCCAGATCAGACAGCAAATTCCAACGGCCAGCCGCAGAGTGTGGCGCTGTCGGTAGCTGTGCGGATGCAGCACCGCCCACAGGCGGTTGAGAGTTATGGCCAGATGCGAGTACACCAAAACGGCCATCAGCGCCCAGTTGACGTAGGTGTAGAAGGCGCATTGGGCGGCGGTTAAACTGCCGCTGTACGCTTTGTCGGCAATATCCAGCGGAATGTCCAGCAAATTTGTCAGGATGTTCATGGTGAAGAGATGGAAGAGGTAAATACTGAAAGCGGGGGAGTAGCCGTTCTTTGAGCGATACAGAATGATCAAGGCCGTGGCATTGGATATCACGATTAAGATGAGAATGATGAGATAGGCAATGAACATGACGCGTCCGTTGACGGGACCGTTTTCATCACCGGTACGGTTGAATTCCGGTTCCGACATTGTAGCGTTAGTCATTGCTGCGTAAGACTGTCTGTCTTGAAATTTCTGTCTAGAATATCATCAGAATTTATGACAAAATCAATGGAAATCAGCAGCGAATCCGTCGTCTATTGTAGTCACAAGATAAAACCGTTTTTTTCCAGTCATTTACTCCGAAAAGCGTCCCAGAGCGTCGGCAGTGGAATTACGATTCAAGAAGCATTACCCCACGAATATCACCCATACGGCAGCAAGCACAGTTGGCAATGTGCAAGAATGCGATTAGCTGCGCTCCGACTCTGTCAGTGATGCGGCATACTGCGTAAACTGGCCGTGCTTTCCCCTGCACCACTAATCGGAATAATGAAGCGCGGGCTGCATCCAGTTTTTCCGGGATACGTCAATAAAGTCACCGTGTTTCCTTCCGGCGCAGCTAAGTAATACTAATGACTAATGAGCACATTCCTGTGAAACATTATACCGGTCGACTGCCGATGGCTGCGATTACTCAATAACATCCACTACCTATAGTGAGGATCTCGGCCGATTTCTGATTTGGATTGAACGGACACATTCAGCCACGGTTTGCTTCGAGAACTGGTTAACACATGTGGGAAATCCTGAGGGTGCGTTTTCAAGCGTACCCCGTGCCGATTACAAGAAGCAGGTTAAATCACGAGATTTGTTATTTTTGCCGATGTTTTGTACTGGCCTGAATGGTGGTTAGCACACACATTATATACCAATTGGAAATATACCGCTGTGTCGACCGGGCGTGAAAGAACCGTCATATCACATGTCCCGCAACGGAGCAACCAGTAAACGCGTGTGACTAAATTGGGCTAATCAGATTAACGGATTGCATGCTGGATGACAGGACAGCTTGGCCTCATTCCGGCCCATTACCTCATTAGTATTTCAAATCAGCCGGTCATCCGTGATATACCCAGATTGCGGTGCATGTGGCAGTGTATGATTAGATTCCCGTGAGTCTGTGACGCTCCCAAATTCCCGGATGGCCAACTTGCCCTTTGCCGCCCCTTGGCTTTTGCCATTGCAGCTCGTTTTGTCAACTTTACCTTTACTGTCGGTATCGGTATAGCCGATGTAAGCTTTTGCCTTCGTTGTTTGCATTTACCGTTCAAAAATGCCATTTGATTAGCCGTTAAAAAGCAGATTACCGTCAATATCAATAAATTGTTCTTTTCGATTTTACCTGCTGTTACCGGCTGTACATTCGGTTCCCACGTTCCTCAGTCGACCAGGTTGTAAATGGTCATCCCGTACGATACCACCAGAACACCAAATCGAATTTTAGCAAAGCAAGCTTTTGTTGCCAAAGGAAATTTGCTATTAAAAACAGGCTTTTAGAAACCACGTCCTCTGCAAAGTCATCTGCTGCTCCTCCAAAACCCAACACTCAGAAGCTTCCCAAATGTTTAATCACTGATTAATAATCAACAAAACAGAACGAAGTTTGTTCTATAAGAAGGTCACATCAACTTTCTGGTGAATGCCGACTTGACAGTCTTCTCAAGTCAAGACTCAAACCCACTGAACATGCAACGAGAATCGCTAATAGAATTAAGTGATCGAATACGTCAGGTGAACAGCAAGTTACGGGGACTTTATTGGTCAAATCATAAACGCAATGCGTAAACATGAAAAGAAACAGATTGGACTATAACAGAAAAATTTCGTTTAGTTTATCCAGCCCTTCCATCGCGCCAGGCACTGAAGCCGCATTTCCCCGTTGAATGTCGATGGACAAACGCTGTCGCAGAAATTCGTACGAGCGTGCTTCCCCGGTGTACTGCTGCAGTCTTTGCAGTCTGCAGTCTGCTGCAGCAAGTCATACGTAACAATATAACAAACAACACGTGTCACAGCACGTACGTACGCAGCACACGCAATCTACACATAATAGCGAATTTTAGATTTCACAAAACAAGTTCCGTCCAGTTCGACTTGCGGGTAGAAGTTGGCGTTACGGGTCGATTTACGTCCGTTCGCGACGTAAGGCGCCGTAACCTAACGTCGTTGGCTGACGCGTAAAAACTATCTGCCTTGCGTGGATCTGTGCAACGGCTCAGCCGTATGGCTGAGCAACAAGCCAGCGCATGCTGCCTGTGGATCTTTTTTATGTGCTCTAACCGCCTCCCCGAGAGCAGGTGGGTCACGCTCTCGGCACTCTCGACTCGATTTATTTTTCAGCTGTACGTCACTGCAAGTGTGCATCCGTACAAGCATTTTAAACGCTGTTCAATCTGGTAACGTACTGTTTATGTGACGCAGTAGTTTCTAGTGGACGGAGCCTGAACCATGTAAAATCTAAAATTCCCTAATAGCGTGTTGGTGTACAAGGTCACCAATGCCGTTACTCGAAGAAACATCGGTATGTTGGTCGAGCTAAAGCAGTTTGATAGACGCTTAGTTCGTCCCGTATCGGTAAAAGATCCTGGATATACACGAGGATTCTGGAATAGGTTTTCAGGTCTTTGTAATACCAAACTGGTACAAGCACTGCCTTTCACACTTCAGCTAAACTACCCTTAAACGAGAAAAAGGCTCGCACGAATTTTTCCGACAGCGTCTCTCACTGGAGATACACCGAAGCAGTGCGGCGTCAGTTATGGGTATAACTGGCGAAGCGGAAAGGCTAAGTGAGCTCTGCATGCTTTAAGACTAGCTTTTTCGCTTGCTGTAATCGCATTCTTATACTGATACATGCATAGCTCGGTTTTCAAACGAAAATGCTTCGTATTAATCATTAACTAGAACATGTAAAATACGAATAACGGTATTAACGATATTATTTTGCGAACTTTTTGCAATGCCGGCATTGAATCGTATCCTGAGCCTGTGGGATTTTTGCGTGAAAACGAAAAGCGGCCGGATGGGGCTACGCGATGGAAGTGGTACCGTGGACAACCGCTAGTCTGGGACGTGACATGCAGAGACACGATGGCGGATTCGTATATTGACACAACCTCGAAGTGTGCGGGCGCCGCCGCCGAACTGGCATTCACTGTCAAGATGGGGAAGTACCAGTCGCTTACTGATCGTTGTCATTTTGTTCCCATTACATGCGAGGCATTTGGCACATACTGTAATGGCACAATTGTTTTGTTGAAAGAGATCGGTAAGAAACTGTTTATGCGAACAGGCGAGAGTCGTTCCACTTGTTTTTTGTTTCAACGTTTAAGTTTGGAGATTATGCGGGGTAATGCTATGAGCATATTAAGCACAGTCCCTTCTCGTGTTAACTGGGACAAATTCTTCATTTGATTGTATTAGACTGAGTGGTGCTCGTTGCTGTACATATTGAAAAATAAAATCTACTGATACGAATAACTCATCTAATTCTGTGCAACAAAATAGAAGCCGGGTTTCCGCAATGGACTTCCTTAATAATACGATGCCACCGAAACGTTGTAGTGCGTGTTCCTTGTCGCTATTTTTCCTGTACAGCATAGCTAGTAAAAGGTGACTGTCTCCTGTCGTATTCAGTACTACAGTACTACAGTTGCTATCTTTCAGCTAAGATAAGGTTGGCCAACATTTTCGGATGATGCACAAATAATTGTACCACGGTCGCAGGTAAAGGACCAAGCCGCTTTATTTTACCGATATGTTTTCTAAGCTTATTCCTATTACATAAATTCGTCGCACACGGCTTACTAAAACGCAGCAATGAACATAACCGGGTCCAGCAAAGCCTGCACTGTCCAAGTAAAATCCAGCACCAAATCTACCATGTCCTTCGTAGCACGATCCAGCGCCACCCAGCCCTTTAGCAACAACCAAATTAATTGCGGCAACCATGCACACAGAAGGCTCACCGTCAGCGCCAGCAGCATACGGAACGTTCGCGGGTCCGCCACCATCTTTTTCCGTCCATACAGCGACTCGTTATTAATCGCCACACGACGGCGGGCGCGTTGGCGTAGCCCTTCAATCAGCGGGTACAGCAGCACAATCGCCAGCGTCGGCAGCAAAAACAGGAGGACAAAAATCGACGTTTCCCAGGTTTGCACGCGTAGGCTGAAACCCGGCGAATAATTTGTCATATCCAGAAGACACACATCGTTCTCTGATTGGTGGGTAAGTCGGTATGCGAATAACGGTACGACGCACAGATGCACGACGATCCAGATCAGACAGCAAATTCCAACGGCCAGCCGCAGAGTGTGGCGCTGTCGGTAGCTGTGCGGATGCAGCACCGCCCACAGGCGGTTGAGCGTGATGGCCAGATGCGAGTACACTAAAACAGATACCAACACCCAGTTGACGTAGCTGTACAGGACGCACACAACCGTGGTTAAACGGGCGCTATACACTTTCTCCGCAATATCCAGCGGAATGTCCAGCAAATTCGTCAGGATGTTCATGGTGAAGAGATGGACGAGGTAGAAAGAGAAAGCAGCGGAATAGCCGTTACTTTTCGTGCGGTGGAGGATAACGAGCGCTGTGGCGTTGCTGGCGATGATTAAGGTGAGAATGGCGATATACACAGCGAGTATGGTCTGGCCACTGAATGAGGTATGGGCAGCTGTACGGTTGAATGCCGTCATGGTAGCGTTGTCCATTCCTAAGGAAATGTTTCCTTCGAAGTCCAGAAGGCTTCTAATAACACCGATCGAGGACACTATTTTCCAATTGGAAGCAGAATTTCAGTTTGCAAGGGATTATGCAGGTAGTGCACGAATAATTTAATCCTGTGTTAGAGATTGGCTATTAAGTGCTCCACGAAAAGGAACCGCACTGGTTAAATGGATGGATTGTGCCAACCAGAGATGCAGCAAACTGAGTAACTGGGATGCTGTCAAGCGCATACCTAATCGGCATAATGGACGCCGTTGAATCCGGTTTCCCGTTGATGCGACAGTGCTAAATTGCTGCTGGCGAAGAAAAGTAATGAAATAAATGTGTTCCTGGGACACGTTATCACGGCCGAGTGCCGATGACTGCAAATGTTCAGTAATTTCTGCTGGCCGCATCCCGGTTGATTTGCCACCCTATTCAATGGGAACATTTTCAACAAACTGCAGACTGGGTAGGTACTGACGCGGGGCGATCATGTGGACGTGCTTTCGGCGTAAACGGCACGGATGACAGGAAGCAGCTCAGAACGTAGGAAATACTGTTATTTCGAGCTTTACCCTAGCTAACATTCACATTATTTGAAGAATGCTATTATCGACGGTTCGGCTAACCGGTCATGATGTCACATGCTGGCGTTGGAGAACCAAGAAAACCAGGATAAATTTATCTAGTCAGCGTGGTGGGTGTGGATGATAGCGACGGCATCATCATTCCGGTGCAATGCGTAATTTAAATACAGGACCACGCTGATGGGGAGTCGAACAATACGTAGATCACGTGGATCCAAGATCACGTGATTAAGTTATTCAAGTTACCGTTCTACATTAACGGTTGGTTTCTTAGGTTCTTAGGGTTTCTTTCTTAGGTCAATAAGGTTACTGTTTTATATTAGCGGTGATTTCTTAGGTTCTTAGGGTTTCTTTCTTAAGTCAAACAGATTACTGTTTTATATTAGCGGTGGTTTCCTAGGTTTCTTAGGTTTCTTAGGTTTCTTAGGTTATTCTTAGGTTATTCTTAGGTTTCTTAGGGTTCTTAGGTTTCTTAGGTTTCTTAGGTTTTTTTTTCTTAGGTTTCTTAGATGAACTGTTTTTGATCTGTGACGTATCCTTGTCTTACGAAAAAAGGGGCATTTTGTAAGTTAATAAAATAGTCCCTTGCGTACTGCAATGAAATGAGTTAAAACTGTAGACCAGATACAAGAATCATGTAGCGCGCCACATGGGTGGTCACGGGTGAGCAATATATAAAACCGTTTACTCAAAGTGAGCAAATTGAGAAAATCGAAGTATTAGTGTTTAACAGAATGTGATGCCTTGAAATAGACTGGCATATTTGATTTTATTTGTGACTAGTGAGAGTCCGTTTGCTCACTTTACTGGGCTTCCCTACTTGATAAAGCAACAGAGCGTGAGACGTCCGGGTGTTGTGTTTGGTTATACCGATCGTGAGTCGTGACCTACGAGCTGTTCCGCGGACGTGGTCTCGTCTCCGCTAAACCAGCTCTTTAACAACGATCACTGTCACATGCCAGTTCGGCACTTTTCTGGAAATCAATTATACCGATCGACTGACTACGACGGCGGTGAATAATTCCGCTGCGCTGCATCTCACAATCAACTGCTTTCTTATACGCTGCAGTGCACACATTCAAGATTGACCGCAGTCACAAGGAACTGGTGGATAATGACGCGGAGAAATCGTGCAGCAGGCCGATAATAACCGGAAAGAGGTTAAACCATGCGGATCCTGTGGTTATTCGGGTGCTGTTAAATTCAAATCATAGGTGACACGCGCATTATATACACAATACTCATACAGTGACTACAGTTCCAGCTGCATCAAAGCAGCATTAGTTTCGCTCTATCTGGTAAATATCGCTCTATGTGGGAAATGTATCTGGCCACTGGTCGATACCGTTTGTACAGTTTTATAATGAACCGATGCTGCTAAAGTATCTCCAACGAAATTGTTAACGCAGGGCTTCACGTAACTTCTAGCATCTAAGTTCACAAATGCAGTTAAAAATACGTTTAATAGGATAGAGAAAACACCGGGTTTGTTATTACGCGAATACGGCCTGACAAGCGCAAACGTCTCTACAAAATACACAGCCTTAAAACACGGCAATGAACATAATGGGATCCAGCAAAGCCTGTGCCGTCCACGTACAATCCAGCACCAAATCCACGGTGGCCATCGTGACGAAATCCAGGATGATCCAGTCCTCCAATATCGACCAGATCAACTGCGGCATCCATGCGCACAACAAGCTCACCGTCAGCGCCAGCAGCATGCGGAACGTCCGCGGATCTGCCACCACCTTCTTCCGCCCATACAGCGATCCGTTAACAATTGCCACACACGACGCCGGGCGCGTTGGCGTATCCCTTCAATCAGCGGATACAGCAGCACAATCGCCAGTGTCGGCAGCAAAAACAGGAGGACAAAAAATCACCGTCTCCCAGATTTGCACGGGGACGCTGAGATCCGACGAATAATCCGTCATATCCAGCAGACACACGTCGTTCTCTGATTGGTGGGTTAGTCGATACGCGAATAACGGTACGGCGCACAGATGCACGACGATCCAGATCAGGCAGCAAATTCCAACGGCCAGCTGCAGGGTGTGGCGCTGTCGGTAGCTGTGCGGATGCAGCACCGCCCACAGGCGGTTGAGAGTGATGGCCAGATGCGAGTACACCAAAACGGCCATCAGCGCCCAATTGACGTAGGTGTACAGGGCGCAGTGGGCCGCCGTGAAGCGGACGCTATACACTTTCTCCGCAATATCCAGCGGAATGTCCAGAAGATTTGACAGGATGTTCATGGTGAAGAGATGGATGAGATAGATCCCGAAAGCAGCAGAATAGCCGCTGCTTTTCGTGCGGTACAGGATAATGAGGGCTGTGGCGTTGGTTACCACGGTTAAGGTGAGAATGATGATATAGACAGTGAGCATGGCGCGTCCGTTGACGGGATCGTGCGCAGCCTCGGTTCTGTTGAATTCCAGTTCCGTCAATGTAGAGTTGTTCATCGCTGCGTAAAATCTGTTCATCCAGTAAATTTTGTATTCCCGGACGAACGGGCGAAGACAAACTCTTTTTTCATTTCAACAAGTGCCTTTACCTATACGCCTGCATAAAACGTGCACTTCTGGGAAAACTCATGGTGCAATAAGTATTAAGGTCATTAATCAAAAATAATACACTCGCATCATATAAATTAGCGGGAATCGGCAGCGAATCCGTCGTGTACCTTTGAGTCCGCGGTCGCAGAATAAATTAAATCGGTCATTCATGCAAAATTCACTTTGTGCGCCACATAATGCGTCACCGAGAAACAATAATCCCACAACTATTCCCCGTACACCAAGAACAAGATGGCTACAGCGTTTGAGAATCTCTATCTGAAATACAGGATACTGCGCATAAACGGCAGTGCTTTCCCTTGCCTAACTAATCACCATAATGTACGCAGCTGCCCGCGGAAATCCCCTTGGTGTACCTTTAAAGTCAGCATGCTTCCTTCCGGCATAGATACAGTAACTGTAAGTATATTCTAGAATAACATTATACCGGTCGACTGCCGTTGGCTGCGATTACGCGATAATTTTAGTGAGGCTCTCAGTTGATTTCCTATTCGAATCGATGGACACATTCAGTCACCGCTGGCTGAGAGAGCTGGATGACAATGACGCGGGGAAGTCATGTGGATGCGTTTCGCCGTACCCGGCACCCATTACACGAAGGAGGCTCCGCCATGGGGAAATGTTATTGTTGTTGTGTATGCCATGAATGATCGCTAGCACGCACATTATGTATGGAAGAGTATTGTTAATTGTACTGCTCTGTTGACCGGCCATTACAGAACTGTAATGTCAAGTACCCGCAACGAACAAACCAGTAAATAAACGAGTAGCTAAATTGGGCTAATCAGCATGGCGGATTGCAGGCTGGATAACAGCCCAGTTTGGCTTCATTCCGATCCATTATATTGTCGCGAGTTGACTGGTAGAAGCGCCATTTGTATGGACAGGCAAACTGTGGTGTGGTTTGCAACGGATGGAAGTGGTCAGACAAGCATCAGCCAGTTCGTAACGTCGTAACTGTACTGGTATTTTAATCTTTCGGTAAAAGTCAATAAAATGTTGTCTCATGGTTTGTCTGTGAATGCTTTTGAACTGAAAGCGTGTTGTCTTATCTTTCAAATTTTTGGATTAGAAATCACTGTTGAGTACTTGAGGGAGAAGACCTTCTTGTGAATGAACTGGTGTCATCATGCATGGCTACTGTAGCAGCTATGGAATATCGGGTCTTGGAAAGTGTTTTTCTGGAATGTTTTCTCATCCTCGATGTTGTTGCACTGTTAGTCTGACTAAGTTTACATAAAGGTCAACGTTAGCAGAACGGTTGGGCAGCGTCATGTCTGCGATTGTTAGTCAGTAAAGGTCATTGACCACCATGAACCATCAGTGGTCTTATGCTATCTGGCAATATCATTCTTAAGTTCATAGCAGCCGTCGGCCAAGATTGCGTCACGTTTTAGCACATTGCTCACAGCGCAGCATGTTGCATCAGAAGGTTATGTTGTGTGAAGGCTCGCAAATTCCCGGTGCGACGCGGACACGGCACCACACTACAGTCTGGACTTTCAGTCACAAACTGACAAGAACGACAACTTTTGGTTCCGCCTCCAGTATAACTGTGAATTTTTTCGACATAAGAGCATGAGCACGGCTCGATGTCTGAGTCGATGAGCACGGAACGACTTAAGGGAAGTGGGTGTATGGTACCAAATTCGTGGTACCAAATGGTACTGTACCAAATTCGGTACATGGTACCAAATTGGCAAATTCGATGCACGAACAGTTCACTTTCGCGCACTCCCAAACACATTTTTGTTTCGTTTTATGACATTCTGTAGCCAGATGATTTGTATACACTGGCGTGAAAACCGTTTGTGCGCGCAACATCCGGTTCGGAAGTTATGGCTGTTAGAAAATTCAAAAAAGTTTAAACGCATTCCGGTGTATCCAAAGTCTCATTATGGACCGATCTCTTTCAAATTGTGCACGTAAGTGCACCTGGCCATGAAGATCGTTTTTACACCGATCCACTGTTCTAGCATGTTTTTCGAAGTTTAAAATGAATTTCAAAAACTTTAAACTTCATTTTAAAATTTAAAAAAATCATGAAAATCTGGAGTCTGAATTTGGTACCGTGTACCGGCCCACTTCCCTTAATTCACAGCACTACGTAATTGTCATGTAAATCCAACGTTGAGTACTGGTTGCGGAGAATTCAATTAGCTTAATTCTACAGCGAAAGGCAGTTCAAGACAGTCTAATGGAAAGAAGAAATTTTGTGCTATGTGCAATAACACAAGAATCCCTGTGGAGACGTCGTTAGGGACCCGGCTCTGCGGTTCCTCAGTCGAACATGTTGTTAACGATCATCCCGTACGAGACCACTGAAACAGCGAAAACCCCGTTATAATTTGCATGCAAGCCGGATTAATTATCGAGATACGTCGGTTAACCGTCAGCGCTTTGTTTGCCATGCACGAGATAATCTAGTAGAGTAATTCTGTGCTGCTGCACATCGGTACCCGCATTTTTCGTAGATGATGCGTGTTATCACGGGGAGACATTTCGTCTGACGCTGCTTACCCTTATACACATTACACAGCTATTACATAGCTCACCAACATGGTGTTATTACGATGCAACCCGTGGTTATTTTGTTGACTTACTAGGATGGATCGTGAGCACGTCACACGCGTATTTCAGCGTCAGTGGCCGCTGTCGACAACCGGCTTGCGTTGCTGTATCATTGGCGCGGATCACACAGCTGCTGTCGCCGAATGCACACACTCTTTGCACATCATTCATTGCATCCGTGGTTGGGCAGCGGGCTTTCGTATACATGGCCTTTTCCAGGATAACGATGGGACGGGGATCGCTGGTGGAATTATTAGCGGGGAGAGCGGTACTAGTGGCACTGGAAAGGCGGGGTTGGTTGCGCACGGCCCTGCGCCGGTGACGCCGGCGTCCTGCGGATGTGGCAGTGGTCGTAACTGCCGGTTTTGATGGGGCACACAGCACCGTGTAGGACTGACCGTGAGGGATCACCACCATGGTGACATTGTGACCGTCCTCCAGGGCGGTATGAGGGGTAATGGAGGGAGCACGTGGTGACGGTGCTGCCATCTGCAGTGGAACACATTCAATAATCCAACGGATACAAAGCTCCCTAAAAGCGCTGAGTTAGCCGTTTCAGCTGAGATACTCGTCGTGCCGACTCGAGCATAATCGCTGCAGTAGAATTTCCGGCGCTCGTTTCCTTTTTAACTTACCACGGCTCCGTAAATGCACACCGTCAGTGTAAGAAGTAAGGCAGTCATACTGGAAACGATATTATTAAAAATGTGCTACACACCAGCTGTAATATCGTACAAATGACATACTATTCGCTGTTTCCTTCGCGGCGAAACAGAGCAGAACTCTGCGGCATTTCTTGGCCTACGGCGACATTGTAGCCGTTGGAAAGTGCGGCTGCTAACTTTGTTGTTGATGCGGTGTATTGTGCCCTCCGGCATTGATTTGCTACAATTGTTTGTAAATATCTCGCCATCTCGGTATAACGGGGTGCGTGGCCAGTTGGCACGGAATCGTGGCACCTGGATTGGTCTGCATTTGGGGCGTGTCTCTGTCCCTATAATGGTGTTACATTGGTGTATAAAGGAAGTACATCATTAGACCGTTACGTAGCTCATCCGTTACACAGCTTTACCGCTGGCGTTCGAAACGACGGTTACATGGGGACCATTGACGAAGGAATTCTTTAAAGAACTGTCGAGAAAGATATGTACTTTGCCTTTAATACAGCCGAACGGGGATGATGTTATGAGTTTTTGTTCACTGATACTCTTGTATAGCATAGCTTAGACGGCAGAAAACGTTGCTAAGTAAAAGGAGACAGTATTTTAAGATCCATGGTGTGCAGGCATGTTATCCAAATTTTAAAATGAATTTCAAAAACATAAACATTTATTTTAAAATTCGAAAAATATCGTTGAAGTTTGGATCGGTGTAAGAACGATCTTCATGGTTATGTGCATTTACGTGCCAAATTTGAAGAAGATCGGTTTAAAATGAGACTTTTGATACACCTGAATGCATTAAAACATTTTGGAATTTTGTTACCCCGATAACGGATGATGCGAGTGAAAAATGTGGCCTTCGTGCACTACGTTTCGCGGACACTGCCCAGCGTGCCAATCACACCGCTCGCCACGTTTCGGTTTTTTTTTGTCTTTTCACGCTTTTATATGAGCAAAGTGGGATAAAACTTTGCGATTTATTTCCAACACCATTATTTTACAAAATCCAAAAGGATTACGTAAACACACCGAAATTCCTGGATTCTATCACCATGAACTGATGGCGGACTGCTGCGACAACATAAATGGCCATTTGCGCTGTATTTTACTGCAAATAGCAGCATCATTTCACGAAACATTTACAAACGTTGGATCAGGATAATTTTAAAGCAAACAGCTGTGGAGATTGCGAACGAAATGAAAGGTAGTACGCGGAGTGAAAGGTAATGGTTGTGAAGGGTTGAGAAAAGAGTGGGAATCTTTTTGTTGTTTTGATGGCAATTGCCTATATTAAAAACGTACCGAATGTGAACCATCCGGCCGGTTTAATGTTACCTTTTTCCACTGCATCAAGTAAATCCGACCAACCTGCTGTTGACTACTGATCATGAGCCGTCTGGCTGTGTAGATTAGAGAGACACATAAGGTCAGTGCACCTACAACTGCGATTATGTAGCGGGAGCGAGAAAACACTGTACTACACGCCCAGTTTAAGAACGACGCGCGGTTAAGCTCCTTTTGCTCGTAAGAAGGGATAAACCAAACTGAGAACGAGCACGGCCACTTCCTGCATTCAGTGCTACGCTCATGGTAATCTTGTCAGACCAAATAACCACATCATGCTAAATGGATTAGACAGGCATTACTTCCGCTTTAATATCGATGTACAAACCGGGAAACCCGAAGCCGGTATACTGTGGTTATGCGCTTGTAACGCTGACAAAATGTACTTATAAAGTTATAACACACACCCGTTTCACGAACAGGCTAAGACTATAACAGCAAAATCTGGGAAATCTGACTCGAGCTGCTTTGTATACCACGGTGCACTATGCCACAGGCAGCAGCAGGTAAGTTTACCTAAAAATATTTATTTTTTTTTCTTAGCGGCGCTAAAATTGTTCGTTTCGAGCCACACCGCAGTATGAACGTCTGTAGGGTAACCTACAGTAAATAATGACATCAGGTGTTTACAATAAAGAATAAAAACTTGATTTACTGGCTCCAATGCGCAAAGCAGATTGTTGAAAAATGGTAATTTTGAGCTGTATCAGTACAAGTAATTTTTCGCATTTTAGAATCTTCGCGCGTATTTTCCTAATAATCAGAAGCCAGTTTTCTACGTAGGCATACGGTATTATGTGTACAATGGATGTACGCCATTACGCATTTACCATGGAGATTGTTTACCACGGACAACAGATCGGCGTTAGCGGTAGTCGGTAGATAACCGGGACTGCGCTGTAGGGTGAGTTATGGACTAGATAATGGTGGCAATTATCTTGTCAAATTCCAGGAAGTTGTCGACGGTTGGAAACACCGTGCGATCGTTTCTCATCCCATACGGTACCGGCTGACAACAGGACACCACAGTATACCAGGTTGACTTGACTCCCGACGGTGGTTAATTAGCGCCGTCAGGTGCGTGTTGTTGGCTGTAGCTCGTCAATCCGAGGATGTTCACCTTCCAGCCGATTAGAGTGCAGTTTTCACCTCTACGCCATACACGGATACAAGCGCCAACGGATATCCCAACCAGATATGGATTAGCTGCAAACATTCCACTAAAAAAGTCACCACCAGCAGGGAGATCATTAGGAATGCTGCGTGTCGTGTGCCGTTTCGATGAGTGCTTGAGGTGAAAGAAGCGGTGTAATTATTACGCTCTACTGAAGACGGATTTTATTATCATGCCTATTTGGCTAATGCTACTTGGAACGGATAGCTGAATATAAAAATTCCATCACTAGCAGTAACTTCATGACTTCATCACGTTCTCAACTGCCTGATTCCTCCTTCTGCCATCTGATTTGGCATCTTCCTGCTTAAACTAAATCCTCTTGTTGGCAAATTTAGAAATAATGCTGTTATGGAATTTCCAGTTGTTGTATAAGTAATTATATCATTCTCAAGATGATAAACAGCACCGAGTACCAGCCATTGCAGTGCTCTGTTTTAATTATGCAAGTGGAATCCTTGGTCCGTGCCCAAGATGTTATGCTGCTATTGGTATTCTCATTATCGAGATCATGAACAACACCACGCGATTACAGCCGTCATTCCCACCGTACGCACAAACCGTCGTGGGAATCGTGTTTGGGATACTGCTGCTGTTAACCATCGTCTTGAACGTCATGGCTCTTCGCGTTCTCTACCGTACACGGGCGCGCTATTCCGTCTTATTCAGCGTGTACCTCGCACATGTCTTCCTCTCCAACATCCTGGTTAATCTCCTGGACATCCCTTTTGATTTTTTCGACAAAATGTTCCCCGGGCATTTGACCTTTACGCCGTGTATCGTCTATTCCTACGTGAACTGGATGCTATTTGCCATTCTCACCAACGCGCATTTACTCATCACCCTCAACCGCGTCTGGGCGGTGGTCCATCCCTTCAGCTACCACCGTCTCCAGCATTCGCTGCGATTAGCTGTTGGCTCGTGTGCGGTCACGTGGCTGTTTGTCCACGTGTGTGCGGGACCGTTGTTCATCTACCGCATCTACCGCCTCAACGAGCACGACACGTGTTTAATAGATATGACGGACTATTCCCCGGCGCAAAGCATCCCCGTGCAGATCTGGGAGACCGCGGTCTTCGCGGTCCTCTTCGTGGTGCCCATTGTCAGCATCGTGGCGCTGTATCCGTGGATTGCGTGGAAGCGGAAACAGGCCAAACGCTTTTTACGACGGGATAGTACGAAGGTGGCGCGGCAGTCGGTGACGGACGGAAAGACCTTCCGGGTGCTGATGGTGCTGACCGGGAGTCTGCTGTTCTCCTGGATCCCGGAGCTGATCTGGTGGATTATGCAGGATTGGGTGGGGATAGATGCGGCGGTGTACGCGGTGATTGATTTGGTCTTGGATATGACGTGGGCGGCGCAGGGGCTCCTGGATCCGACACTGTTTATTATGGTTCTACGGGAGTAAGAAGCAGAATTTTGGTAATTATTATAGTTTACGTCGGACCGCCAGACCAGTCCGCCAGCTGCCCGAAACTTCAATGATGAAACCGACGCACGCTTTAATCACACAAGAAAACCGTTGTGTTGTGCGTTGCTCGATACAAGGGTTTTTGAGAATTTTGCGCCCCCAATTGTATTTAAGGCGTCTGATTAGATGGGACCGGCTTTCCTGGTGGTTTTTTACCGCGGGCAGTGTTATAAGATTGCCGGGGATGGTTTTAGTTGACACGGTGTCACACGCACTTTGTAAATTGTTTAACCGTAGTAAGACTGTTGGAATGAGTAACTCTGTGCGGAATAATATGCACAAAGAGCTGAAGTTCTTGAGTCCAGGCACGCCAGCATGTACTCGTATGAGTTGTACTGTATCTGTATACTTCAGTGTGATAATGTTCTTCAAACAACAATGAGTATAAGCCGGCACGAAGCCACGAACGAACGACTTGTGCTGCAAAACAAGCAGTACTTTATAGCATTTGTCACGAGACCGAGCAGCTGAAACTACGAAATGATGACCCGACAGTTTGTTGAAACGACTAATCGCTGAACGACTTTTCGTGAACACCGACACCGTGCTGACGACATTTTGCTGACTTGAGAAACCCAAAAAACCAAAGAAACCTAAGAAATCTAAGAAACCTATGAACCCTAAAAAACCTAAGAAACCTTAAAAAAGCAACAAGAAAACTCAAAAACCACCGTATCGAACCGAAAAGCCAGTTGTCGGTCAGTATTATTTCAATTATTATTTCTATAAAACTTCCAATTATTATTATTATTATTATTTCAATAAAACGTCGGTCAACAATTTAGCAGAAAAGCGAATTGTCGGTCAGCAATTTGTCGGCCAGAGAGTTGTGTAAGTCAATAACATGTCGGGCAGCAAATTGTCGCTCGGCGAATGGACGTGCTATCATTTGCAGCATGCGGCATCATTGTGAAGGTGTATATGCAGGCTTATTTAGCGCAGTGCAGGGAAGATGTATTACGTATGTGCAATAGTGCCCCACAACAGAATTCTCCTTACATGCAAAACTGAAAAGGAGATCGGTTCATAATAAGACTTAAATGCAAAATACAATACTAAATAATGCAAAATTTGGACTAAATTTGTTATGCAAATAAAGTAATCATCATCATACACATTATTATAAATACTAAATACATAATACAAAATTTGGACTAAATTTGTTATGCAAATAAAGTAATCATCATCATACACATTATTATACAAAATAAGCAATTCATTTGGCTATAGAATCACAGTATTTCGTAAATATTTGGCTGTACCAATCAGTGGTCAAAGAATGCAGAAAAAAGTGTGCAAAAAAGGTGTTTGGAAGTGCGCGAAAGTAAATACTTGCGTGCATGTACACGAATTTGGTACCATGTACCGAGGCACATCCTTTAACACGAATCCAATCCAATCTTAGTCATCGGCAACAACTGTGATACGAGTAACATGATATCTGTGATAATTATACGTAACCGGTATAGGCTCGTGCCAGACACTACCGTACAGATCAGGCTAATCTTGCAAATCTTTCAGCATGAAGTATTTGAGGAACGGCAACGTCAGTATTACTGTACGCGCGACATTGTGATGTGGGTCGGCACAGATTAACTACAGAGTACACTGATTAACCTAAACAGTGTTTCGGATTGACTACAGTAGGTTGACATGATGAATTGCGTAATACTTTAATCGGCATCCGCCAGCACATGTGCCAATATGCGAGCGCATATTTACACTAACTGAAATTAACAATGTTAAACATTGCGCAGTTATGCGTTTAACCGATGCTAATGTGAATAACCTATTAAAGCACTGTACTACGGTTACGAAACAGTATAATTTAAGCTTATCACAGCTACTGCGTCGCTACTTCGCCGCTCAAAGTGATTCTGTGTGTTTGACAAAATAATGGAAACAACTGTTGCAAATGGCAACTCGATGCGCATGTACGAGACGAGTACCTACGTCTGCAGAACGCAGCATGACGTCGAAATCTCCGTTCGTTGTGCATGATCGAGGGGATATCTTGTCGCACCTCACAGCGCCGGACTTTCCTCACCGACAACACCCACATGGCCACATCTGTGGGGTGCGGCTGCTTAACGAGAAAAGCCCTGATGCGCTCATCTAGAAGCCGACTTAGCCTGATGGTATGGCCTCGGCACCGCGCGTACTTAATCCGCCTAGAAAGAAAACCTACAAATCTCCGCCGTTGGCGTGCAGAATTAGCAGGAAGATTGCGGATGCAGTCCGCCGGTTTCCATGGCTAAAGGTCGGTATGTACACATACCGCTATCAGACGTAATTAAACAGTATTCACTATAGAACCATTGGAAGCAGGTTATATGATCAGGCGGTCATCATTTCATCAATTCCACAAGGGTTATGGCTTGCTATTTTCGATACCGTACTGCTTCAGTTAGTGAAATATTTAACGATAGCCATAACCTTAATTAAAACGGCTAATGTTTGAAATTTAATTATTTTAGTCAGCGTACGCCTGCGTAAGCGTATGGAACGGGCACATGCCACTGATGCCAGCATGATGCAGCGTGGCCCTTAATTTCCGACAATTCTAATTAGACTGGAGTTACCAGTACGCATGGCGCATCAGCTGCTGCAGCCTAAACTCGTCCTTCCTTCAGTTCGTTTCTGTTATATGACCTTCACAACCGGAAATATCTGCTATCCATGTAGAGACATATTTTCTGCTGGAGCTGGTGATTTTGTAAATGGACGAGTACAGATATAAACCGGAGCAGTGGGAACACATCTCGTGCTGCATGTTTGTTGCTGTGTGGCTGATGTATGGATCGACAAACTGTGATGACTTGGCGCGCTGTTTTACTGGTTAGCGTCGCTTGCTTGACTGCTGTCGCCGCTGCTATTAATGTGGAGTTTGTGGCGTTCGGTAGTCGGCTGCCGACGAACTATGCCCAGTTGGCCTACCTGGGTCCGGCGGCTAGTGTAGCCGTGGATGAGATGAATAGTCGCTATTCTGGGAGGGTCAACGGCACGTTGACCTATGTGTATGACGATTATGTGCCCAATGCCATGAATGAGTACACGGGGCGCCAGGTTGCGGAGTGGTACTACCGTCAACGGACGCCGCAGATTCTCAGCGTCCTATTGATACCCAGTACGTAGTTTCCATGTCGACTGAATTTTTATTAATCTGCGAATAAGAACCTCTGTAATACTGGCTGTAGACGGATGAGGATTCTTACTAGTCAACTACGCGCTTATTGATAGGATCTATTGGACTAGAGTCGACGAATAAAAATAATTGTATTATCAGTAGAAGTGTTGACGTAACCATACAAGTACTGTGTTGGCTAATTAAATAAACGTGGCGCTTAACTTTTCGTCCAGATTATGCGGTGTCAGGGGTCACCTGTTTCGTTTGATATGCGGCTTCTAATAACACAGAAACAAGCTTTCGGGAGAAAATTCTGCTTGGAAAACTTCTCGCACTGAACACTGTAAACTCATTACCATGCCTTATGGTTACATTATTCAGTGATTTGGAATTTCTGTAACTTGGCAGTCGGTGCTGTATTGAGTATCTGTAGGGTTAATACTCGTATGCAAGCTGTTCTAATCATACTGCTTGGGTAACCGACTTAACTGTTAGCGGGAAATAAATAATCACTGCGTTGCCATTTAGGCCCATATTTAACTATATAAACATGTCATTCGATGAATCTCCATCTGCAGACGCTATAATACTATGCCCTTTAACCTGGTGCGTAATCCAATTACAGATGGGATAATTTTATCCGATCTGAGTTATTTAATCGAACAGTGGGATTTCCTGTACATTTCCCTGTAAGTACCATACCACACCCGCCTTTTGGCGTCGCTCGCCAGTCGTAACTAACCTGTGCCAATCGTAATTATGGACAGCATAGCGGCCACTCCGGCTATCCGCAACCGAACACGCAATCCCCATTGGATATCTATGGGACGTCTAAACTTTCCCGCCATCTCGCAGTTCTTCCTCCACACCCTGGACACCTTCAACTGGACGACGTTCGCCATGGTCGTGGACCTCAGCTCGACGGATTTCTACCGGTCGGTGGCGGACCGTATCGCCCAGGATGCGACGCAGCGTTCCGGGGTGGAGCCGCTAAAGTGGAAGATCAACGCATCCGAACCGGGATATGATTTCAGCGGTTTATTGGCTGGCTTGCGCAACGCCACACGAAGTACAGGATTTGTCAAAAAAACGACCGTTCTACAGTATTACTAGTAGTAGCTGTCAACTGGGTTTTTATTTTAGTGATCATGTATTTCGGACATGCGCGATATCTAAGGAAGTTTATGGTAAAAGGTTTTATGCGTTAAAACGCACTTTGTTAAGAATAAACGTTTAATTAATTAGGTGGCTGCATACACGATGGATATGACCAACGGAGAATACGTAAGCTAAGCTATTTTTCTAGAGTGGCTTTTATGATACTCTGCAGTAAAAAAATTAAATCAATGTAACTGGTAAAATATATTTTAGTTTATGCTCTGATTGCAGTATTATATTTGTATTAAACATGAGTGCAGGTATATTTCGGTATCGAGCCGATGAAGAACGAGATTGTCTACGGGAAAATGCACTGGAAGTATGCCGACGATGACGATACGGTAAAACACGGCACGTTTACACCCAATATCATCCAGAATTCTTAATGGGAGCAGCGACACCAATAATACCATTTCAGGCTGCACAACAGGCCTTCCAGTCGTTACTGGTGTTCCGCACGGGCGACTATTTCTACCCTCCCAACACGCAACTGGGTATGGATATTTTGGAGCGAACACGACGTGATTTCAACTTCTCATACGACATTCTACAGCAGGTCGGAAATTCCTAGTAATGAATGTGATACACATTCCGCCTACTATCTCGGATATATGTATTTCAGCCTTACCAAAGTTTGGCGAGCCCGTATGGTGCGGTGTCTGCTGTAGCCGAGGTATATATTCAGCGTACAAAGGACGCCTAATTGGTGTATAATTACTTTCACCATTCATCTTTTTGCCAGATTCTTTCAGACTGGTTGGCAACCAATGGTACAGATCTCGTTTCTGGTTCCGCTCTGGCACAACGCATGTACGATCGGGCCTTCGAGAGTCCCTTGGGGACGGTGTACATCGATAACTATGGCGAACGTCAACTCGATTCATATTTTTTTCGCTTTGACGCAGCTGGCAGTCAAGTGGTAACTAGAACTCGTAAATTATTCTGCAAAGCGTAAAGGCACAATTTATGAAAATATTTGGCCCAACTAGCATTTTGAGCGCAAGCAACTAGTTAAGTGTTCATAAAAAGCGCAAGCGTGTCAGAATCAGTGCGATACATGTCGCGCGAAAAAAAGGTTTCTTAATGAAAGCTGCAGAAATCATTTTTATTATGTGATGGATTTTTATCGTGCGACAAAAGAGGCACACGAAAACGGTTTTCTCAGTGAAAGCTGTTGAAACCGTTTTTATCATGTTCACAGTGCAGATAAACCGGTTTTTATCGTGCGACATCTCAGCCGCAAAAAAAACGGCTTTAACAGGTTCTCTGAGAAAACCGTTTTTAGTACAGTATGTAACCGATTTTTGATAATTCTTCAGAACTTCCTCTACAAACCGGCGAATCGCTCCCGTCTGACGCAGCTGCAGAATCTAACATCCTGGTCCAACCGCACCTGGCCCCCGCCCAACGAACCGTTCTGCGGCTACCGTAACGAAAAACTGGCCTGTCGCCGAGGTACTGTATGACCGAAAGTAATTCTACTTTCTCATTGCCTGGAAATCACTGCGTCGTTGCAGGTGACAAAGCGTACATCGGTACCGTTGTCGGTTCCACAATGGCCGCAGTGTTCGCGATCGTCACCGGTATCGTTGTATACATAAGGTGCAAGAGTATTTTACGCTTTTGCCTAACAGAATAAAAAGGATAATCAAGCTTTTTGTACAGGATAATCAAGCGTAACGTGCAAAGACAAGAAAACACCTGGTGGATGCTGGACGAATCAGCGATCACACTGGAACCGTCCATGTCTCGGTCCACAACAACGGCCACCAATAGTGTAGTGGCGAAAAGTGCTGTTAGTGGGTTCTCCAAGAGACAGTACATGGTACTATAATTCAGACACCGGCGACGCAATCTATTCTGGAAATTCACAGAACTGTGTATAATGTAGAGTACCAATCAGTTGGCAGCAAAATACCACGACACGTCGGTTATTGTGGAGATTGTTGCCGTAGCCGATCATGAACTACACTTGGCGGAAATTGGATCGAACCGCTTCTTTATGCCCTATTTAAATAAGGTACACCATCATTGCGCAGCGCTTGTGCGATAAAAACATAAATAAATCATATGAAAAGATGCTTTAAAAACGCAGATAAAAACTAAAAAAAATAAAATTATACGAAACTTATGAAATAGTTATGAAGAAATTCTAAATTCTTCTTTCTTCAAAATACATCTTCTTTAAAAATTATAAGATTTTATGGAAAATTTTAGAAATTTGTTCAATAAATATTTTGAGTAGAACAATTACATATATGCTATTTCTAAAAAATTGCATAAAAATTGTAAAATGTGTAGCTACGTTACATCAGCCACGAGAATATAGTCCGCACCATCGGCTTAACCGTCCTGCCGGCGGATAAGAAATCCGCTCTCAGCGTTGTCTCGGAAGCCCTGGAGCGCGGCTGCCTGTATAATCTCTTCCATTCGCCGATCAACTGGGATTTTTCCCTCACCGCGTCACTAATCCTGGATTTCCTCGAGGTAATTTCTTTTACGAAGGCGATGTCAGTGTAATTAACTCCGGAAAGGAAAAGATCAAACGTGTTGGCTGGCTTGCCAATTACAGGGTCTGCAGTTTATCCATGCCTCGTCGTTGGAATATCATGGTGATCTGTCCGGTTATGCCTGCCATCTAGACAATTTCTTCACGCTGAAGATCGGCGGGCTGGTCAATGTCCGCCTGCAGAATGCGGTGCGGCAGTCACCGGATGTCGTGTACGTCCGCCATCGCGCCGACACCATCGAGCATCCCACCGCCAAGATCGTCCAGAAGCACGATATACACGCCACCGGGATTATCTTATATGAAATCCTCAGCAGACAGGAGATTTCCCAGAAAGGTCAACGATTGGTATTATGTGACATTAGTTATCCCTGCAGCTAAAACTATTAATGAGGAACAATTAATAAATAAACATATATTTAAAAAATAAATAAATGGTACAGTCAAAATACAAAAATGTTAAAATAAAATAATTATAGGATCCATAAAACATTGAAAATAATTTAATTAGGTTACATTTAACAGATTAAAACCCTACGAAAACGTTAGGCTTTAGTCATGCCAGTTCTCATAGCAAGAACATTTTGTGCTGATTACAGAAAGTACCAGTGAAATACAGTTTACGGGAAGTGTACCGCTACAAGCCTACGAAACTTTGATCCGATCGTGTCTAGCCTATAATACCACAGCGAAAACTGTACGCTCAGCGTTAGCGGACATCTCCCCAGTGTTTTCCATACGGAAGAGCGGGGTTAAGTTGGTGGATCGCATTCAGCAGCGGTTGGCCGACTATGCCAGGGAACTGGAGAACGAAGTGGCCGTCCGGACGAAATACCTAGCCGAGGAAATGGAACGCTGCGATAGAATTATCGCGCAATTTTTGCCGCGGTATGTTTACTGTCCTGCGTGGTCATCTTGCAACCATAAATTCATAATAAAGTTGCTATTAAAAAGTTTACTAGATCAACACTTTGTCGACACCGTACTCTATTAAATGTTGAGTATTGTAGTGCAGTGGCTTTGTGGATCTGTAAGTCCATATTCCACGACTGATGCAATAGCGTGAACACTGTTATGCCACATTCGAACTAAAGATTTGCTTAAAAGAAAACCTTTGTTTGCTTGTTTTTCGCTGACTCGAAGAGATTTTTGCAAGTGTCTTTATGCAATCGGCACTGCCTCCTCTTTAGCTGGATAGCCAATCGGATTCGCTCCGGCGAGAGTGTCACACCAGAACTATTCGACAACGTGACGATATTATTCGCCCAGTTATGTGGCCTCTCGCTACTAGCGCAGCACCGCACACCGGACGAGCTGATCAGCAGTGTGGGCGAATCGGAAGCTGTCCTGGACCGCATCACGGCGTCCTACCTGGATGATGTGTATAAAGTGGAGGCCGTGGACGATTCGTACTTGGTACATGATGCGTTACTTCTGTTGAACAGGTTTTGATTTTGTGATAAAAAATGGTTGTGCAACAGGTGGTGAGTGGTCTGCCGGTGCGTAATGGTGACCGGCATGCCTTCGTCATCGTGGAACTGTCCACGCGGATGTTGCAGACCGTCAGGCGGAATTTTGCTCATCATGTCGCACTGCAGTGCGGCGTTCATTCAGGTTGGCAAAACCTAGTATTATCGTGAATTTCAGGTTTTAGAGATGGATTTCCGATTTGATCCAATGTTCTTATGGAAACTACTGTACTATGAGTCTGCTTTTGGTTCAGTTGATATACGTAACTTCGTACTTATGCATTTTCTACAGCAAAATTTTAAAAAGATCGAATGACAGCCTGGCCTGTGTCAGACACATAAATAATTTTATTTTGTAGCATAACATAGAACAAAATAAGACAGTTAAAACACGTTTTAGAATCAAATGCCGTAGTGCATGTGAACGGATTTGCTGGCATTCCTTAAATGGTAAAGTGTAATGTGTACTGGTTATACGCTTGTTTCGTCGGCAGGTTCCTGTGCGGCCGGCGTTGTGGGATTTCGCCGGCTACGATACTGTTTGTAAGTCTCAATTTATCGCCATTTTAATGTCAGCGGATCAAGGTCGGCTTTATTAATAGTTACACTTTTCGTCTAACCGTTTAACCGTACGTCTTGCAGATTTGGCGATACGGTCAATACAGCGTCGCGCGTCTGTCTGTACGGGATGCCGAATCGGATCCACGTGAGCCGCTCCACAGCCGCCCTGCTGGACCAATCCGCCGTGCGCCTGCAGAGCCGCGGCATGATATCCATGAAAGGCAAAGAGCAGATGGAGACATTCTGGCTGGTAACGCTCGACTAACGCCGGTGCTCACGTATTAAGGAAATGTCGCGCCACTCGCCAGTTCTCACCACATCTTGATGGTGGCATTTGCATTACGGTAGATTGTTGTAGATCGTAATTTTTTGCGCAGACAATTTTTACACCACGCTCTGGATTTGAAAATAAGCAATGAGGAAGTGTGTCTAACATAATCTTTGCTGCAGAATGTACCTATGGGGTGTTCAACTGCCTGTATGTTTGCGTTGGCCGCTCAGTCCAGAATGATTGTAAATCCTGTACTCAAATAAAGTTGTAGAAAAATGACGTTACTTGATCGGTGTTAAATAAACTGTTAATTGCACAACTGTTCGCGCGTATTTGCCGCTAAAGTAATCAGTTGACCGTTGCGACTGCGATTGCAGACCGGCTGGCCATGTGCGTACTGCGTAGCAGCATTTTATGGGAAGCTGATCCTGCTGTTTCTAATCTGACCGTGCAGAGATAGTTACGGTTTTTACTTTTCTGCGCCTCATGAACATCGACGTCATAGCGGCAATAATGGACCGGGCAGGATTATTATATTCATTTTTCTTATGATGGAGAAGAGACTGTAGATTACCGGAACACTGGATAATCGGATGTACCAGGTAGAATAGTAATCCGCTTAGCAAGGCAGTTATTGCAAGCATGACGCGGGGTTGTCGAAGGCGCGGTCCGTATAGGATAATACGCTGGAAATCATAGTAACCTGTTTCAAGATATAATAGCCATCTCCGCTGTACCAATGTACAATCGATATCAGCTGCGTATTATCCAATGTTGGCGGACGAGTACCACAACTAGCCGGTAAGCTGAAGATCTTCGTACCCGCCAGTTGACGACAATACACCTGCGTGCGTATCAGATTAACAAGATACCTAAACAATCTACGCAAAAGAAAATAGCGGTACACAGCTAACACGGGTCTGTACCGCTGTTTTCTTTTGCTGTTTTCTGTATATGAATTTAATAATATTAAGTAGATATTATCTGTAGATATTATCTATGCACTATAGATATTATATTATCTATAGATATTATCTATTATATAGATATTATCTAAGCATAGATATTATCTATGCACTATGCAGCGGGTATCCACACAGGTGGCATTCATTTGGTTCGGATGCAAGGGTTGCCTCGTTCCACCCACGAGGCACGAGCTGTGTTATTTGCCATTCTACCAGGTTGCTGCTGCATACCAGCACGCTGTACGGACTATGGCGGTCTCACCGCGAAACTTGCAGATCCCCGTATGAAAATGAATTGTTCTTTCTGTATATTACATTCAACGGACCGGAATCACAAGGAATCCCTTGTCCACCCACGTAATAACCTATAATCTTTGTGGATTACCCAGTGCAGCGGTTCGCTTTCGCCATCTATGCCGACTAATTCGTTAAGAACGCTTGCAGTGCTGAAATAAGTATACGAATATCCTCATTTTGAATATTATTAGTACTGAATATTTGAATACAGTAAAACTTTAGCGGCTAGTCATTTCGCAGCGTCTTCTCCGAGCCAACGCTAATCCTAAGAGGAGAACTGTAAGAAAGTATAGTAGAATGATAGAATCGGCATTTTAAAATTCTCTGGAAGGAGTTACAACTTGGCATGCGCAAAGCTAGAAATGCATTTGCCATTAATGTAAAGAATATGGATTGTTGGGTAAACAAAAGGTGGAACTGAGTAATAAAATCAACAAACACCGTGCAGCAGGAGCACATCCAACGCGCATAAATTCGCCAGCACTGGTTGCGAACAGAGAAGTCGTCCGCAGATTGCCTAGTGAGCCGGTTACCAGAATTTTTTCGCGTGGGGGCACATCCGGCTATTGAATGTGATCTCGTGTAAAACTCGCCGAATTCTGGATGCAGCTGAAAGCAGCAGTGGCCACGTGACTCTTTGACAAAAACTCTTTTCATCGTTCAACTGAACGAGACGTGTCACGATAGCATAGTTTAAGCCGAAAATATTTTTATATGGAGGACTTCCATGGTGGCCTAGGTTTCCGTTAATATTACTGTGGACTTTTGTTCATACACATGCAACTGTGTGCGTCAGTGAATAGCAACCCACCAACGTATGCGCTCACCAAATGTTTCGGAAAAACTGCTGGGGTAAACAACGGAAACTCGTTATTGCCGTAAACTGTATGCGAACAACAATACACCGAGATTGGTGTCAAAGCACTACGCGGTATATACTGGAATAAAATAGACGAATAAAGCGGCACAATACCCAAAATTCGATGAAGCAGCAGCAGTTGCATAAATATTTGGAAACTAGGTGGCAGCAAAAAATAAATTAAATAACAGACGTTGTAAGTCTGTCCGACGTAAGGCTAACGAAGTGAAATCGAACAGTCGTTTTGGAGTTCAGAAACTGAATCATAAAATCAATAAGCCGGTTCCAGCGAAGCATAGAAGTTTTAAACTATGGTGCTCGCCAAATTTCGTATGTCTAGCGCTTCGTCGACGCGGTCCGCGACACCATCTCCCCGGTCCGCAATTCAATCGACGGCGCCACGGTACTAAGATGCAGCCGGCGTCCACAACACCGCACCAACCGCCGCAACGCCCCCTTCATCTCCGGACTCCCCCAGTTAAACAGAAACGGATTCACCGCCGACAAGCAGTACGCCATCCAGTACGTAATCGTAAAGAAATCAAAATCATAGTACCCGGTACTCATCGACAGCGCCTCATAGCAGAAATACGGCGTCCACATCACCACCAACGCACACAACAGCAAACTCAATAAAAAATAGATCTGCCGGTCCTTCTGCCGGCGCAGAATCTCCTTCGTATTCGGGACGACCCCCTCCTGAATCCGGGCCCGGAATAAACGCTTTCGACGAATCTGCCAGGTGGTCACAATATACGATACAATCGTCAGGATCATCGGCGTCCAGAACACCGTGGCGATGACGTAAAACGGACTGGCGTAACGCGGCGCAATAAACGGATCCCAGTAGCAATCCCGGGGATTTTCATTAATCCCGATATATAAACGGTAGTACGTCAGCGACGGGACGATTAACACGTGGCTGAGCGTCCACGTGAAGCCGATGGCTAGCCACGCCTTCCGCGGGGTGTGATGGCGCCGGTAGGATACCGGAAAGGTCACAGCCCATAATCGGTCCACGGAGATTATCGCTAAGGTCTGCAGTGTTAAACTGGTGCTGAGGAAGTCGAAGTACAGCCACACGGTGCAACGGCTGTAGCCTAAAGGCCAGTAGCTGTAGTACGTGTAGATCCCGTAGTTCGTCATGCCCATGGCGCCGACGAGGAAATCCGACACGGCCAGGTTGATCAGGTAGTAGTTGAACGGGGTGCGGGCGCGCCGGTCGAAAATGAACGCGCAGATTAGCGTGAAATTCGCCAGGATCGCCACGCTGGTGATGATGGAGATGAAGCACATTTCCCAGAGCGGTGCCACATCCGGGTCGGGGTTGAGGATGACCGTGGTGTTATTGGCTAGAGACATGCTGTCCACTCTGAGCGGCAACCAATCAGCGAGCGGCTAAATGCACCTTTTTAACGAATAGCTATAGCGCCCTGGAATTACAAGTATATTTTGTCGGCAGCGCTCGATGCCTGTGCGACTGAATAAGTTGCAGATAGTCGGTAACTGTATGGGCCTTTTTACATATAAGCCAGTGCTATGGCGTAGGCGATGTATAGAATATTTAATATATGGTGTAGGCGCAGGACAATAAATCAGCACGGGGAATGTCAAATGATCAACCGGCTTTCAGTCTGATTGAGCGCACGGCATTGATCCTGAAGCCGTGATGTCGCCGACGGCGCATTTCATCTCAGTGGATTATAGATGCTGAATGGATTATGGATAAGAGTGACGGTTGTTACAGAATTATTAAGCGCATATTCTAAAATGGCAGTTTCGCTCTGCATATGTCATCTGCGCGGTATAAAGCATTAATTCGACTTTCTGATATTAAATTCTCCGACATCCGAATCAAAGCTCGCATTAGGGATGTTTTACCACAGCAATATTTTTTTCCCGTATTTGATAATTACAACGGGATGAGCACTCTAAACATATCGATACAGCAGTTGATTTTTAAAATATACGCTGATTTTTAAAATCAGTTAATTGAATTTTTAAAACTGATTGCGTGATGTATTCAACTGTACCGGTCAAAAAGTGGGTTTCATTAAATTTTCGAAATGTAACGACTAACGACAACCATATAACAATATGTCGCGTTAAAAAAATTATGCGCTGATTATTTATTAAATGTTTGGTGACGTTAAGATCACCGCTGCAGTATTTATTATCACGCGAATATTTAATCAGAATATCCATAATCCTCACCGCAGCTCACGTGCTACCACAATTAATGCAAGCCGGCTGCTGAAATACTAACAGAGCATTATAGCGGAAAACCGAAATACGGATGATTATTTATTAACCGATTTATATACAATCAATGAGGATTTTCCAGTGTACACGTCATGCACTGATAGTCCAGATTGCCGAATGAGGTTAAACCGGAAAAGGTCGTCTACGCCGTCAGCGTATTCTTGGTGCCCATGCCTTCCTGAAAAGCCACCCGGTTATCGTTGCTGTTGACAGTGGGATTCTTGGTATCGCGGAAGACGAGATAATGCTTCCCGTTAAAGAATTCATCGTGGATCCACCAGCGACCGTTGTCCAGGTAGATCTCTTTAGCTCTGATGATTCCTGCAGCAAACCAATCCAATAAATGCAACCTTCAGATTTTTTTTATTAACATTTATTTTAATGATATATTTACTTTGTTATCAATTTATTTTGATAATTTATTTGTTTTATTAGGAATTTATTTTAATAGTTTATTTGTTTTATTATGAATTTATTTTAACAATTTATTTAAAAATCACTTAAAAATTTATTCAAATAGGTTTTATATAAAATTTGTTTCTCTTTTATTTTTCAGTGTTATGTTTTTAAGGTCTTTTGTTTATTCGTATGTCCATTTGTTATTAATACGAATGCTTGTTTTTTCCTTAATTTTTTATGCATTTTACGGTGATGCGTCGGTCATTTTACCGGTTTCAACGGCCGTCGTGCTCTCTACCGGCGCCGCTGTCGTCGTATCGGCCACAGTGGAATCCTCTTCCGGCGCCGGTGTCGTCGTTGTCCAGTACTCGTTGCACAAGAAGAACCGGAAGAAACCGTCCAGTCCGTCGTCCTCATCGTCCGAATGATGATGTTGGCAGCGAGGCCGGCGAAATTTATTCCGGTAGTATTTGTTGAAGCGCTCCCGCAGCCAATCGTAATCGGCGTCGTATCGCGGCTTGTTGCGGCTACAAAAAAGGGCCAGGACATATTTTTAACGTTTTTTACCTATTAATTTGATACCATGTACGTCAAATGTGCAGCATACGCCATATAAGAACTGCACATGCGCTTCTCACACCCGAAATATCGGCCCGCGGCGGGACGTTTTATTTGCAGTGTATATACATACATTGTTTTCTACAAAAATCAAAAAAATTACAATTTGGCAATGGAAGACGGAAATCAAGGATTTTTAAGTGTACAGGGAGTGCGACAATCAAAAATTTGCTATAAATGTGAACTTAATAAAAAATTCGTTCGGTACCTTTGGTATCGCCTAGGCGAGTCCCGGTTGTAATTGCGCATATTATCATTCCCGTAATAGTCGTCTTCCTCTTCCGGTCCCGTTGGTTCGTAGTAACTACAAGCGTACATTCATAGTTCTGATCGCGTGATTGTGTAGTAAATTTTGTAGTTTCGGCATTATGTAAAACTACATTAGTGAATTAAGTATACTTCACTTAATTGGTCAGTACGTATCAATTATATAACTGCATGGATTAAATGTTATAAATTGTCTTATGCACAGCCTAATTTGTACCAACCCGTTAGAATAAGCCGGACGGGATCCGTTGTAATTTAGCCGGAAATAACTGGGATTGGCCACAAAGCCGCCGTAACTCGGCCCGGAGAACGACGCAACCGGACCATCCAGATACGGTCGCCCGGTAATCTCCACAATCCATATGGTCTGCACAATCACACCACGATAATATATTCGATATATAAAATAACACACGAATTGTATGGCACAATATTAAAATATTAACACACATAAAATATAGTAAATTCAGTACAAAAGTAGGAATGATTTCAATATGAAGTCTTCCGCTTTTGATGTCCTAATCAACTAGCATTTGCTGTGAAACAGCTACCTGTAGGAAAAGATAGCCTCTGACAAGACCCGTCATATTTCCCAGAAAAAAAAATATTTTAAAATATCCGATGCTAGAATATCCGATCCGAAACTGGAAAGAATCCGCAAAGCCGTACTCGCGCGTTTGTAATACAAATCAAACAAACATATTATTTCTGCGCTACCACGTACAAAGTAACATGTTATCTAATACGGTATCGGCAACAAGCACAAGACCAGTTTTTTTCTGATAAAGTAGCGAGTTTTTCTTGCTACTTTGTGTTGTGTAATTTCTGGTTACACGGTGTGCTTGTTTATCATGAAACCATGTTTATGTATTGCACAAATGTCAAGCAGACATTGCTGTATTTCAGTTTATCGTACTGACAACGCGGCTTGTATTATATAATTAAGCTGGTTATATCCACACTCCGCAGTCCCCACCCTTGTTACATCCACATTAATTCTTTACCAATTTGTACTCCACATGTACCGTACTTGTACATGCACAGTAACGGAGAATGTGCATGCGATTTACAGCACGTGCACGGTCAAGCTCTCATAATACGGTTATAATAATTATTATGCCAAGATAAAATTCAGCTGCAAAATAAAAAGGCGAGACTTACAAGTTATAAGTAACATGTCAAGTCCGATAAAATGACTCGTAGAATTGTCTGTAACCTGCACGGGTCGCAAAGGCTGATTATCCGTAGTCTGCGGGCAGTGAGTACGAACTGCATCTTAATATGAAGGAAGCAACATAATTAGACTAGTTAAGCAATATGAGCAATAATACAGTAGACGAGTAGTGTTTTGATTGTTATAGTCTCATACTGAATAATCTACTGAATTTTCAGTACATTTACATTTTATGCTGTATGTGCAGGGTATACGTCGTTAATTCTCGTATTTCGGTCACTTTGCGTATGCGGCTGATTCTCATAAATTACTCCCCTTATGTATCGTATCCTGATTTCTAAAGCCTCTAAACACAACAAGGTTTCCAGAAACGGTAGTTTTCTTTACCAGAAAATTTCCTCTTATGAAACGCAACTCATAAAGTATACAGATTACCAATACGTTTCCATGGAAAGCAAAGTCTGTACACTGGTACAGTGCCCATTTTGGTGGGTACTTACACAGTAAAATGTAACTGCTGTCGAGTTACAACGTTAAGTTAATTAGTTAAAACTACCGGCGCAAGTCTGTACGGTGCTCCTTTCGGCGGGTACTTACACAGTAAAATATTTTCCAATGCCGTACCACTGTTCGGGATAGACCAGACTCTGCACCCAGCGCTGGTGCACCTGCACCACTTTGGCGTACAGCTCATCGCTGACCGGCGGACACTTCGCGTTGACGGCCCACATGAAACGGCTGGTCAGGACGTCCGGGTCGTCTCTGTCGCAGTGGAAATCCACATTGCCCAGCGTGATCTGCATCCGGTCGATCGTCAGTGCGGTTGCCGACGTGTTCAGCGGGGCCATCAACTGCTACTCCGCCAACGGCAGAGCCCCACCGAGGCTTACGCAAAACAAGCTGTGCATGGCGCGGCCGAACAGATCGCACATCGTCCAGTTGCGGACCAGGATCCGCTGGGTAACGTGGTGAAATTTAATGGCTTCAATGGCATAATAATGCTCCAGCCCGGTCCAGCCGCCGAAATGCAGGTAAAAGTCGCGCAGGATGAGCAGTGGTACGTGGGGCTTCCAGATGCAGAAGAACTGGTGGCAAACGTCCGATACGGCGCAGTCGTGCCGCGGTCCGATGATCGTGAGGCTTTTCGTGGTGGCGCTGAGGGAGCGGGTTAATAACTGCAGTGCGGCGTGGTCTCGTTTATTACCGCATTGGATCGCAGCGTTACCGTAGCTGCAGGACTGGCAGCGGAAGATGATATGATCCGTGTTGCGAGGGTCGCTGAGGATCTGCTGCCACAAGGGGCACACCCTGTCGCAAGTTACATACAAGGTTTAGCGCCATTTGCCAAAGATATGTGTGACGATTATTGGCCGCTGACCTTTTGACAGTCTGTGTCTGGATGTCCAAGTGCCGAAGGATCGACGTCCACAGGGCAGGCGTTAGATGACCACAGTCGTCGCCTTCTGGAGCGGCTGGTGTAAGAACTAATTTGTTGTTCGCGTAATTTCTCTCATAATTCGGTCACTTTGCGTACGTCTAGGTTTAATGAATTAGTCTCCCACGTTGTCTTAAAGTCCTAACTTTTAAACGGCAGCTTCGTTCTCGCTTCTCAAAATGGTCGTTTTTACTTTGGATAATGAAAATTTCGCTCATGAAACTATGCCGATCAGCCAAAGATTTTCATGAGAACGTGCACAGCATGCAAACTGACCGAAATACGAGTACAAACGCAAAGTACCCGCAACTACAGTGGCAACATAAAAACGGTAATCATGTTTTAACTGTCGCCCCACTAACCTTGAACATTCTCGCGCCGGGCCTTCTTTGTGCCACCCGGACGCCACTGCTCCGTGAACGCTGGAATAGTCAGGGCCGGGATGAGCCCCGCCTGGTCTAAGCATGCCTGCTGCATCGCTCGCAACAACGTGGCGGTCATCCACTCGGCCGTCATAACCTCCGTCGGGGCGCAAACGACGATGAACGTGCAGCATTCCGTCCCAATGCGCAGATGGGAGCGGCAACTGTCGTACAGCACCCTCAGCTGTGCGTGACTGTTCAAAGCGCCACTGAGATGCTGAACGAGGCGGAATCGGTCGGCCGGGTCGTGCAGCACGGATGCCGCCCCGGAAAATGGGATGACGTGCTTGGCATAGTGGAAGTCACTACCGGTGTTGGCGCGAGCAGCATCGGCCGATGGTAATTCCGCGACGACCTGACAACGGTCGACCACTTCGAAACCCGCGGCAACTCCAACCGCCGTGGAAGGCGTAGTGACACAACACATGCTGCTGTGTTTGTTCCAAACGCTGCCCCGCACAGTCGCCGCTCGGAAGCAAAAAGGTCCGCCGTACTCGTCCCGCAGCGCCACCTGCACCGGCGCCTCACCGAACCAGTGGTGCGCGGAACGCCTATCTCCCGGAAACAGCGGCAGCCACACGCGGCTGGCGTCCATCCAGCACGCATCCATCCGCTGCGCGTCAAACCCCACCTGAATATAATTGCCGCCAAGGGAGATATCCTGAATGTATCCCAACCAATAAGTATTAGGGTCGCTGGCATTCTGCACCACCACCGTGTTCTGGTAGCCGAATGAGCATCCATCCGCTGCCGTCAACATCCGCCGAAACGGCGGTAGCGCTGCCGAAGAAGCCATGAAACAGTTGAGGTTGTAGTTGCCCAGCTTAATACTCGCGGACTATTGCCAGGCAGGGTACAAAAACATTTATGCTGAATTTTGTGCAGAATTTATGCTGAAGTACAGATCATGCGGTGGTGCAGATGACGATGTACACCTGATTGCAGTTTCTCCCCAGCCGTTACTCGTACCGTAACATTCGATAAATATAGGCTGACACATCAAAGAGTTTAGTGAAACAAAACTGTATGATTGTCATTCGTCAATGACTCAATAGTAAGGGTACTCAAACATCCTTTACGAACGGCTCTATAAGTTATAGATGCGATTTCTCTTTAACTCTCACTAACCAATCATACTTCTCTAAATCGGTTAATGATAAAATACGTTTGAATGGGTGTTTACGCATCCCACTTCACAAAAGAACAGAAAGTCTAAAACCATTGGAAACAAATTTCAAAAGATACCTGCACATTACAATGGACTTCATAAATGTGGTTACACTTAAAGCCGATAGCAGCTATGCATACGGGTGGCTATTTGTAACCACATTTATGAAGTCCAATAAATAATAATAATAATGATGAATTTAATGTCTTCGTGCAACGGGGTCATACCCCTTAACAGCAGTGGACAAACAACAAGTTACACACATGGAATGCATGATGGATTAACAACAACAGTAACAAGCGAAGTGAGAACTGAACATGACAGAAGGAAAAAGATACAGCTTAAAAGAACAATAATAATAAAAACAAAAGCTAAAACATGGTAGAGTTGTATATTGCAAATAAAGCAGTTCACAAGTGTAAGAACTTTTGGACCAATTTAGATCTTCCCATTTAATATTTTCTAAAGAGTTGCGAAAAGTTCCGACAGACTTGTATGAGGCAGAGGGGAGGGATACTTCGTTCCATAAAGAAGTAAGTTTTTCACTGAAGGAGCCGGCAACAGGAATAGCGGTTATGCCACATACAGTCGTAGGTGCTGGACAGAGGGAGATAATGGCGTTCAAGGCGACGGAGACAGGTGTTTCCTGAAACAGATTCAGACAAGGCGGCAGACACAGTTTGTTTTGAAAGAAATTTGTCGCCTAAAGGAATTAGACCAAATACCAATTTATAAACAAAATCAAAAGTTTTTTCGCTGTTCTTATTCTGTAACCGTCCAATTTAAGTTCTTTCAAACGGAGACGAGTCGGAAGTATCGTTACCAAGACGAATGGATGCAACAAATTTCTCAATGCAATGCTCTACTTTATCTTTGCACTTTTTTGCAATGAAAAAACAGCCGGCCCACAATAATCCAAAAGGGGAAAAACAAGCGATTTGAATAGCATCATGCGCGCTCCAGAGTCGCGGAAACGAAACAAGGAGTTAATGTACCAAATTCTTTTTTTGCACTTCATAGCAAGACTATCAGCATGAAATTTAAACGATAGCTCACGGTCGATTTCGACGCCCAAATGCTTTACTTTCTCGCAAAACGTATCATTAAGAAAAAAGTCAGTTTTGTAACTTAGAGACCGCTTTTTTGAAAAATGCACGTAAACTGATTTATCAGCGTTAAACACAAGGCCTTTAGATGATGCCCATTTGGACAAACAATTAAGATCAACCTGAAGAAGTTCACAGCTGTCAATAGCAGTTAACGGGCGTAGCAAAACGATGTCATCGGCGAAAATCAGGACAATACTGCCATTAATTAGTATAAAGGGCACTTCGTTTAAAAGGCAAATAAACAACAGCGGCCCTAAATTGGACCCTTGTGGCATACCACTTGTTACTTTCAAAATTATCGAAAAATATTCGCCAACAGAAACGCACTGCTTTCGATTCTTCAAATAATCAAAGATTAAATGGACCACCGTGCTGGAAATATTCAGATTTATAAGTGAGGTAATAAGACTTTGGTGATCACATTTGTCAAAGGCTTTAGAACAATCAAGAAAAATGGCGGCAACTTCAATTCCGTTATCAATAAAATCAGACACTGTTTTCACAAAATAAAAAATTTCCAGTTCAGTAGACCTGTTGCGACGATAAGCAAACTGATGATCACCTAATGCACAATTTTTTTGTAAATGATCTCGTATTATTTCCGACAGACAACGCTCGAAAATTTTAGAAATCGGATTCAGCATTGAAATTGGACGGTGACTACCAGGAAGAGTTAAGATGCAGGATCCGTTGTAGATCCACTGTAGATGCAGGATCCGTTTCAGTTTGCACTAGCGATTTCCACCTCAGCTGGCCCTATACCGAAAAGTAACGATTTTGGTACTTTAAGTTAAAGGACTTTAAGTTAAAGAGAGGAAAATTATAGAGCCTTTCGTCCAATGGTAGTGCAGAGGCGGAGCCAAAAGTTAAAGGATCTGGCCTCTAAGTTATAGAGCCATTCGTAAAGGATGTTTGAGTACCCTTAGTGAAACATAATAATGTGGACTGTCCTTCCACCGAGCCACTAAAACTGAAAAGCCAGATACTAGTACTTGCATACTGGGTCAGTGGGTATTCAGACCAGGCAAATCAACTTTTGCCCTGTGTCTTGTGAAAAAGACACAGGGCAATCAAGCAGCAGAAGTCAACATTTCATATGGTCATAATATCGATTACCGAATATTAAATACCGATTATCGTTGTGAATTTTGGACGGCTATTGCCAAATAAAGTAAATACCGGTTGAAACAGGGGCCTCGATCATTTGGCCAGGACTGCAAAGCGTCGCAGATATTTTTGCTGTGCTACAGGTTTAAAGGAAATGGCCCGGTACATGGTGTCAAATACATGTCCACACGAAGGGAAACATCTGCTTTCGTACACTATAAAAATTTTTGGCATTTGTTTCGGACATCGTGTAGCCAAATGATTCGTACGCGACATTATTACTGATTTATAAGTCGTATACACTGACATGAAAATCGCTTGCCGCCCAGCATTTGGTTGTGTCGTTATGACTGTACGAAAATCTCAAAACTTTTAAACGCATTAAGGCGGTGCTGCGGTACTACGTACTTCGCAATAGCATTTCGTTACAATTTTAAAATGAACTTAAAAATTTAAACTTTATTTTCTAAGTTAAAGGAAGTGGTGCACCTGTGGTTCGCTGTATTAAAGAACGAGCTTCATGCAGTACTTACGTGCGTTGAATTGTGCTTACGTGCCAAATCTGAAAAAGATTGGTTGATGAGACGTTTGATATACCCGATTTGCAACTGTGTTTGGGCTTTCTGAACGAGCCAATTTTTCTTACAGTGACAACTTCCCAACCGGATGTTGCGCGCGCATATGGTTTGACCCTTTTTTAAGCCTAAAAATAATCTGGATACACAAAGTCACAAAACGCCATAAAACTACGCAATATCATACAGCCATGCATGAAAGAGTGCGCGAAAGCTAAAGTTTTCGTGCATGTACCGAGTTACACTTCGCTGTTAATATACGAATATTTATCTTGTGCTTGAATTATTACAATCTGTAGACTCAGTTTTACATTTCAGGCTTAAAATGAAATCGTTCGAAAGCCAAACCAGGCTTCAAGCATTCGGTCTGGAAGGAAAATTAAATTTTTAGCATTAATATTTAAATAGTTTTAGGTAGGGAAACTTACTTACAAAGGAGAGTGGTATTACAAGTAAATATAGCAGACCATATTTCGGATTATATCACTATCAGACTACCTGTAACCGCTAATACACCAATGCATTTATTATCTTTGTTCTTAACAGACCACGTATTCGGAAAATAAATTTAAAAAAACCAAATTTTTTAATTTCCAATTTTGTTTCTGTCGTCAAAACAACTGAAGATCAAACCACTTCGAAAACGACCGGAAAAGTGGCTAAACGCCAGACTGCAAGACCAGCCGCCAGTACAGAGTCACTACAGACGTGGACGGGCAACCACCCGGGGCAGCCAACTACTAGTAATAAGTAACCGCCCACCCGCGGCTAACGGCGGGCCGCCATGCGGCTGTCAGTTGTGATCCCTGCCGTCGCTATCAGCAGCTGATAAGCGTGTTTGCTTTTCTCCACAACACAAACCTACTGGTCGGAATAATTTCTCCGTTTCAACCGTAAACGTAAACGGTTTACGTGCATTTACCTGACGGTGGCTTTATTAAACATTTATCCCGTGTAGGCCGCCGTATTCAGCCAGTTTCCATCGGGAGTACCCTGTCAGCCCTTGGCTCCACTGCAGTTTGTGGATTAAGAATTCCGTCGGGATGCGTCTGCGCTGGGGTATCGCGGGCTGCGGCCGCATCTGCAATGATTTCGTCGCCGCCCTGCGCTCCCTCCTGCGGAGCACCACCAGGTAAAACACCCCGCACTCGTCCGACGCTGTCGTGCGGAGTGAAGACTAGCGAAGCGCAGCTGACTGATTTAGCCTCACTGTGACGGTCTAGGTGGTGGCGGTGGCGGCGCGGGATGCTGCGCGTGCCGTGGAGTTCGCCGGCCGTTTCGACATCGCGCGACCATACGGATCGTACGAGGAGCTGGCGTTTGATCCCGAAATCGGTAGGTGATCGGGGTTGGTTTGTGTCCGCGGGGGACCACAAGAATTCGTGCTTTTTTGAATCTGGTAAAGTAACGTTGTTCAGCGTTAGAGATTCTTCAAGCCCAGACGCATCCAATTTTTTTTCTTCAAATAAAAATATTTTATTTGGAGCAGTTAAAAATATTTATTTATTTGTTAGGAAAATATTTTATTTAAAGGTTCATTTTATTTGAAAACTATTTTATTTGAAAAATGAAAGTTTTTTATATATTTTTTTTTAATTTTGCGAATTATTGTTTAACGAATCCAAGTTTAAGGATAAAATTGATAATAATTTCTACATGGAAAGACCACCAAAATAATTATTAGGAGTGAGGAAAATTTTCGGGTTGAGAAACAGTTTAAAAAACAGTGTAAGCCTAATTCTGTCGGCAGAAAATAAATCATCGTGTCTTCGTGAATAAACACTGGCTGACTAATTTATCCAGTTTTATTGCCTGCGACTTTTGCTATGTTTTGACAGATATCGTATACGTTGGTGTGATTAACACCAGCCACCGGCGCCTGTGTGAAGTGATGCTGAATAACAACAAACACGTCCTGTGCGAGAAGCCCCTAACGCTGCATCTGGACGACACGCAGCAGCTGATTGAGTTGGCCCGAAAACAAGGCAAATATCTCATGGAGGTTAGCAGTATTTTTAAAGCTCTGACGATGTTAAATATGAAGAAATATTTCATGGGAAGACCTTTAAAAAATATTAGTGTACAATTTGTACATGAAAACATCACAAACTTAATTAAAAGTTGATTAGAAAGTACAAAAATAATAAAGATTATTATTATCTACCTATTACGAATCCGTTTTCCGAATTATTTTTTATACAAAATAATCAAGTACAGCTAACTGCAGTAGAAAATTATTAGAAATTAATTAAAAAATTTTTAAATACGTACGTAGGAATCTAACCAATCGTAAGTACTTCATTTAAAAAAAATTGGCTCGCATAAATTATGCGCTTTGTATTATTTTATTATACAATTTTATTTTTATAATACAATTTAGTTGGTCGTACGTGGTGCTCACAGTTTGACATGTTGTAATTAAAAGGAACTTATGCACAAAGGAATTAAATGTAGAATTATTAATCAGCCGTTGCGTAGTTGCTGATCTGTGGATGGTGTTAGGGCATATGGAGCCGTTGCTTCCCGGCGTATAAACAGCTGAAGGAGGAGCTGGCCCAGCAGACGATCGGGGAGGTGAGGCTGCTGACGTGCAACTACGGCTTCGCCCGGCGCAGTGTGCCGAATCTGACCGAGCGGGACATGGGCGGCGGGATTCTCTTCAACGTCGGCTGCTACGCCGTCCAGCTGGCCAATCTCGTCTTCGGCAGCGAGAAGCCCGTCTCTGTCAAAGCCTCTGCCCTCTTCAACTCCACCGGTACAACTACCGTCATTTCTCGCAAGTTTTCATTTTGGGATTTTTTTCGCATTATCATTTTATGTGTTTTTATTTTATGGCAGTTTCGCTTTCTTGTTAGTACTTGTATTCAGACATGGGAGAGTGTAGTGTTTAAAATAATTTTTAAATTTTGAATTGCTGAATTTGGAAATGTACAGTTGAATTGAATTTAAATTGTGCCGGTAACCGACTTTTAGTTTTGATTCAATCCGACTTTCAGTTTTGAATCATTTTTTTAGTGTTTACAGGCGCAGCAGGCTTTTGATTAAATCAGCTCCCTAAAAGAACTGCGGATAAACTTTAAAAAAATTATAAAAAACAATTTTGTACTTTTGAGCAATTTTATAATTTTTTTAATTAATTTCTTTAATTTTGTTAGTCTCTAAGATTACATAAAATCGGTGACTGTTTGTGCAGGCGCTGACGATACGACGGCGGTGATTCTGCAGTACGCCAGCGGCGCAATGGCCCAATTTATGGTGTCCATGTCCATGAAACTGGACAGCACCGCCAAAATCGTCGGCACCACCGGCGAAATGGAGGTAACTAATGTGTCTATTAAATAATTTGCCAATTAAAGGATTCAATTGTCATACTAAAATATTTAATAATAAGTAATATAACGGTAATAAATTGACGCATGGCATTTTATGGAGAGGAATTTTAAACTCTGCAGTTCAGCCCATGAGATTTAAGCTGTAACAAAATAAAATGTCCATGGATGTCAATTATCTGTAAACTAATTATTATAAATTATTTATCGTTTATGTGCGATGTTTTGACAGCTACCCGGCACGTTCATCGCCCCCACGGAACTGCGCGTTAACCAGCAGACCCGGCTGTTCCCCCTGCCCGCCGCCGATCCGCGCTTCAAGACCAACTACACCAACTCCGTCGGGCTGGCCTATCAGGCCGAAGAAGCCCGCCAGTGTATCCTTAGCGGTAAAGGAATTTTGATAAATGTCGTCTTTTACCAATTAATTAATGACCTCGGGTTACTATTTTTTCGTAAGAGGTTCTGGGTATGGTTTTTATTCCGGGGAACAATTTTTGCAAGGGAAGAAAATTTTTTCAAAGGAAAAAAACCTAAAAGAACCTTCTAAGAGATCTGCTTTTCGATATGCACATAAACGAGCGCAACTCCGTATGCACAATCACGTCATAAAGAATTTGTCCCAATTGACATGAGAAGGGACTGCGCAGTCTGCAACAGTACTCTCATAGCATTACCACGCATAATTTCCGAACTTGAACGTTTGAAGCAAACCCGTTGAACTGAAAATAACTTTCTTAAAATGTTCATTCTTTTTTCAAGATTTTCTTTTTACTCATTATTTCGCCGTAGGTTCCAGAAGCGGGAGGGTCACCAATTACTGATAACATGTGATAATTCAGTTCCTACTTCGACGTTTTCTACTCGTGTTCCACGTTAGAAAGCTTCATAATGTTTCTTCAACATGTGTGTATTAGTTTGTTTAAAAACACTCATTATCACGTAACCAGTTTTTGAAAAGTTTTGGTCATGTGGAACAACGCGAAGAACACCGTGTCTCTAGAGTCCGGTCGCGAATCCATATTACAGATACGAAAATATCCGCAACGCGAAAACCATTAGTTAGTATTATTATTATTGCAACTGCAGTAGCCAAACTCCAACGGGCTGCTGGAAAATCTTTTTGTTAATTTTTAAAATATTATACTTTTTTCGGTTTGATTTTATGAGATAAAAGTTACCCAACCTACAGGTAGGAATCGAACCGATGACGCTCAATCTTGAAGCCAGACGTTACGAGACGTATTATATTTACGAATATTTTCCTTACAGGCCAGATTGAAAACCCATGGATGACATTTGAGGACAGCAGCCGCAGTGCGCAGCTGATGGAGCGCATCTGCAAAGAAACCGGACTCAAATACGACTAACATCGATGGTCCGTTGGTCCATAGTTTGAGCATTTCTTCGTTAATGTGATTCTGCGCTGTATGACTGCCTTGGGAATGTAGTAGTGATTTTCAGGGCTCATGTGATAAATGCGGTATGCTTTTGTTGGTGGGTGTTCAGTGCGGCTGGGACATTTTGCGGAAATAAAATTCGTTCAGGCAACCATCGACTGACACTGCTAATAAAACGATCAAGTGCAGCTTTATTGTTACCGGCACTGCCATCAAAATATACTGCATATACGAGTACCGTTCTATGTCTAAAAAAATACTTGCCGTTTCGCTGCTTACTAAACAGAATTTTGTGATCTTCTCTAGCCAGATGGTTCGCACTGGTAAAGTCGTATGCCGTAAACGCTTATGAAACCGGCCGGAACCGTTTGTCAACGCTCATTGCCTCTTTACGGACAGATAATTTTAACGTGCTCTGGTGCAGCGTTTTCTGGTCAGGTTACGGAAGAACCATTTGTAGCGGGAATTGCCGCGGTATCTGGTACCAGTTCAGCATGTATCCCTTGCAGCTACCGCTTTCGTGCACTCCGAAAACATTTTATTAAAGCGTTGTATTAGTACTCGAATATCGTGTAAGTTTTACTGTACGTATAAGTATGCCATCTCTTAACGAATACAGCATGGGAATACGATCTCTGTTCGGGGAACATTTAGCGATACCGTAGAGAAAAAGCATGTGTTTCTTCTTTCCAGGAAGCAGAATGGGAATGATGTTTTTTGGCTGTTATTGATTCAATTGTTGTACCATGAAGTTAAGCACATTGAACTGATCAAAGTAAATCATACTATCGCGAAATGATTCCTACACCTTGACCCCAAAATCGGTTTCACGCGCGATGCACGCGTAGGTCATGACATTTGATTGCTGAGGTATGGCGAATTAAATTCGTCAAAAAAACCCATGCATCCTAAGTTCTCGCTGCCATATACATTTTGCTATGAAAGTGTACATTTTGCTTGTTAGTTTACAATATGTTATGAAAAACACATGCTTCGAATTATAAAGTAACTGCGAGAGACAGTTTGGAACCAAATTTTCAGGAGTTGCTTTACCATGAATCTAAAGAAAACTTTCTCAGCAGTCAGAAAGAAACAAAATTACCATGACGCTTGAAGCTGTCTTAATTTGCTTTACAATTATTGATTGTGATTACGTGAATGGAGGCTTCATGATTTAATCCAGGTTAGTCAATTGCAACACCACCCGACAACAGTTGCAGTGATTGTTACTTGGATAACCTAAACGAGCTTCCAGATACACGACACAGCCACCACCCGGAGAGAGGCAACACCATGATAACATATCATCTGTCACATTTGCGTCACTTCAACCTAGAAACCAGTTTCCCTCGGGTCCGGTTCGTCCGGATGACTTCGTTGTGACGACGGGCCGTTTGGTTACGTGGCCCGGCGTTTGAGAAGATTGCAACCGCACTGAAGCGCCCACCAAGGCGACGAACCAGTGGCGTGACCGGCTTTTAGCGGGCTTCTTAACAGGTTGTCCAGGGCGGTTCAGAATCCAGGTCCGGCCGGTGACATGGTTGTACGTGTTGGGTACGAAGCGTCTTCCGCGGTCCGTCCTCCGCGTTTCGCCTTCCAGCGTCGAATTAACCACCTTGGACGCGTGGATGGCGTCCCCGCTAACACCACCGGGAATTCGGGATGCGGATGCTGCAGAGATAACGAGAAGGATGGCGATAAGCGACCACAATACGAGCATGACCATGATGGTAATAGAATGTCAAAAAACAATGCAAACAAGTGCTGGGCAGTGTGCGTAAACGGCAGTTCCCGTGAACGGACACGAACTGGGTACCTACTATCATGTACCTGACTATTTTCCTTAATATCATCGTTTTGTGGTAAATAAACGTTATAATACGCCGTACATCGCAATTTATATATCGGTAGCAGGAACTGCTTGGCGGTTGTTTTACCGGGATTTTCTCCAGTTGCCATTAAGTATCCAGCATAATCAGAACCCGAAGATAATGAGCAGATGGGGCACTGCTTAATTTTCTAACAGCTGTTTACGGCGCCGCGGATCCAGGGTGGTTTTTGCCGGTGCTGCGTTGCTGCAACGTGTAATCATGCCCAATAACCCGTGTGTAATATGCTTAATAATAAATCCTTAAATAACGGAGGTCATTTTGGCTAACGATAATCATAAATAATTGATGGTAACAGCACCAATCCAGCTGGATTTGCCGCGGCGCAATACAATCGGGTATACCTTCAGCAAATATGTCGAAAATGCCAGCGTATTTTTCCTTTTCCTTGTGCCACAGTAGCCGGCAATTAAATCCAGTATTGTGCGCCGATATATTTTCGAACCAGCACTAGTTACTAGTAACTACGAGTACTAATTAGCAAGGTTACCGTATTCCTGGAAACAGGCTGGCGAGGATTAAGGACAGATATACAACCCACTCTATCATCAGCAGCAATTTCGGGTTGTCAGACATGCCATTGAGTTTTCTTCGTGTCCTTAAATACGCTATAAAAACTCGAATATTAAAGCACATTATTATGTACGATAGCTGCGACAAAGGTCACGGTTATCAGAATTAACTACAGTGTGAAAACGTGGATGATTCATAATGTAGGTGCTATTTTTTGTAACGTTATTAAGAGCCCGTGCGATGCACTCCGTAATTTTGTGCAAGGAATGCAATAGCAGATGATGATAATAATGCTCGTAGTACACCGGTTGTAAAGTGCGCCTGGGGTGATCGCTGCGGTGCATAATAATCCCTTTCTTACAGCGTGTAGTTGTACGTTCATATTCTTCTGGTATGCAGACGAATACACTAATTTAAAGGGTTTCGACTGCGGTTAACGACGTCTATTGCACTTTTGATAAATGTATTTTACACAACTTCACCGCTGTACAAACAGGCACGTAATACAGGCATTCATAAAACAATTCGAAAGCTAATTAAGCTATTACAGGTAAGGCAGTAACTGGAAAATTACAAAAGCAGTAAAACAAACAGAAAAAAATAAAAGGAATTTAGTGAACATTAGCCATGACAGCATACTTTACTACAATACAATACACAAAAAGCATGCAAGATCGCACAATCTGAGTAAACTCCATTTACAGTCGTATGACAGTTATTGCACGACGTAGACGACATTTTTCTGTGTGATCGGTTCGCGGCAGTACGGGCATTCCTCCATGTTCTCCGAGCAGGCCTGGCACACGCAGATGTGGTTACAGGGGATGAAGAGGATGCGGATATCCTCATCCGAGCACACCTACACACATTCACATTGCCATGTACAAACAGAAAAGTCGCTGCTTCGTTTTAACGCATATAATAAGATTGTATGTCCGGTGCTTCGATTCCAAACCAACTTGCATCTCATAAAATCAAACCAAAAAAAGTATAAAATTGTCTAGACCATCCAAAAAATTTTCCAGTAGCCTGGTAAGATATCTCCATTAAAAAGGATCTGGCTACGGTAGTGCGCACTAGTTTTACTACGTACTGATCATCACATTACACGACATACAATGCATTTGCCCCGGTCATCATCATCCGCCACTGGCTTGTTCCCCGCCGTATCCGGTTCCTCGATGCGATCGCTCTGCGCCGTGTTTCTCCCCGATGCCGCCGGTTTCCCATGTTTTCGAGGATCGGCGCATGGCTGACATTGCAACTACACGAGCAAAATATATATTATAATGTATCGTTACCCGCGATTGGTTAAACGCTAAATCGTAAACTGAATCAACATCCGTTTTCCTTCAGAGAAAGATAATTTTCGCTCCAAATAGTAGATGACAGTACAATAAACTACCCAGTTTTGAACGAACTGGCCTCACCTGTCGCCCGTTAATCTCGATGGTCCCCAGGTCGAGTAACTGCCGGTTCATTTCCGGATCTTCGAAGGTGATCTTGGCGTAGGCATTCTTCGTGCTCGGAGAGGAATAATCCGCTTGGAAGAACAGGTCTTTTACCTGCATTTATCATAGAATGTCTGATTATAAAAAAGAACACACGAGGAAAAAATACCGAACTTCATACTCACTCGTCCGTACTTTTCCGATACCAGCCGTGAGAAGTCGTCTTCCTGCATAAACGACGACAGACCGCGGACGAACAATGCGTACTCGAGATTCTTCAGGGCTTTCTTCTGCTGCACCGTCTGCAAGGCAAAAACTATGGCTAAAGCAAAATCAAAACAGCATTATAAATTCTTCTCTAATATGGAGATTCAATTTATCCCAACGTGTTCACACTCCAGAAAGCATGAAAGTTAGAAATTTTTTTCAAAATACTTAATCTTCAATCTAAACAGTAAACATTCCAGTATAAACGGTTCAAATAACTACAAAATGCAATTCATGTTATTTATTTGGAAGATATTTAAATTTTCTGATGGCGAACACCTCGCCAGATTCATAAAGGAATACAGTAACGCAAATAAAGCAATCCAAAAACAGCAAAATAAATCAACACGCGCAAAACAAATCATTCTTTACGGCCTTTTTAAGCAGAGTAAATCGATTATAGTCTACGCCGATCAGTAAAATAAATGCAGATTAATTTAAGGGGAAGCTAGTTGTCTTGATGCTTTTTTACCGACCCGATCGAACGGTTCCACCTGCACCGAGTACACCCACACCCCGCTCCCGTCCGGCGCGCCCGGCATGTGGATGGCGTGCACTTTGCGGCTGCAGATGCGCTGCACCGCGTCCGCCCCGGCGAACTCCATCACGGCGAAGCCGCGGCATTCGCGTGTCTGGCGGTTGCGGGCGATACGGATGGTCTGGATGGCGGAGACGGGCGTGCAGAACTGCACAAAGTACCCGTACAGATGGTGCTCTTTGGCGTGCGGCGGCAGCTTCTTCACCATCAACGTCCTGCTTAAACAACAACACCGACAACTTCACTTTGCAACGTCAACGAAGACAAGCGCGGGCAGATCACCCACGTGGTGATTAGTTGCGGATGGGGGAAATGGGCACCGCTGCTGGATGGATAGTTCGGGAGGTTCTGGGCGGGTTTCCGTCCGAACGCGGCTTCGTGTAGCGTCACGTTCATATTCAGCGCTTTCAGTCTACCGGTAAAACACCATACAGCTCGGATTAATTACTCGGATGAACAAAAACATGCCATGCAAAGAATAATTTTAGACAACCGCACAAAGAGCTCCGTGTTTTTGTTACTGTCAAAAAACTGGATCCATAAGAATATACAATAAGTACGTCAGCACCGTCCAGATTTCTACATGGCGTTACCTTTCTTCCGCTTGCTGTTTGATGGTATCCATAATCTGTGCGGCATTTTGCTGGAAACACACACATCATCACACAGTCTGCGAGGCGGTCGATCATCACAGAGAGCGTTTCTTACGAGGAGGTTGGCGTACGCCGTCAGCGTAATGGGATTGCTGCACACCGTCAACGTGGCCAGCACCTCCGCGCCCAGCTGATCGGTGGCCGTGAAGAACTGCGCCACGGCGTCGGGTCGGCCTGTGCCTAGCACTGCAAGGACGAAATACCACAACGCACTGAACTCCTCGTTCGTGGAATGATTCTCAGAAATTAACAGTTAATAAGCGGTTAAAAAATCACGAAAGCTATACGAGAAGAAAACCATTTCTACCATCATATTTTAATTACGTGATTACCTACCTGATTACCTCTCTTTTTAACGCTAATAAATCTAATCTACGGTAGAACGAAATGCAAAAAATCGAGCCGATAGAAAAAGTTTGATTTGCTCTGTAATATGATTTTTCTTGCCTGCGGTGTCCAGAAGCTGTTTGGCCAGTACACGCGCGCCCCCTAACGCCGGATCCTGCTGCAGCATACCGGGGGCCGGCGCCACCACACTGTTCACGAACACCCGCGACGGCAACGGCCCGGGCACCGCTCCCGGGGCGCGCATTCGCGAAGCTTTCGGAGCCTGTGCAATGCATCCGTAAATGCTCAGTCACGCTGCAAAAAAATTAATTTCGGCGGGTGGTACCCACCTTGACACGAGGCGCTGCTGGGGGACCGCGAGGAGCTGGGGGAAACCGCGCGGGAGCACTACCAAGACCCATTCCCGTGGGGGGACGGATACTGGGACGTGGCACATTCGGGAAGATTGTCGGCTGCAAGAAAGCGAATTTTGTACGGTAGTCTCGCTTTGGATGCTGGTTCCAGAGAATAAACTGTGCAACTCACGGGAATATCGGGCTGCCTTGGAACGGGAGCAGCTGATGACGGTCGTGTTCCAGGAGCGCCTACAATAAATTTATTTGTAGGGCTCACTGTTGCGCTGGACACGAGATAGTTAACTGAGATGCCAGACCGATGGGCTGCGCAGGATTTCCCTGAGCAACGACGGGACGCTTCTCCACAGCGTCCGCACTGTAGCATTCCGGGCAGCTGCCATCCTATAAGATAAATTCGCTGCAATTGCGACAAACTGAATTGCACTCCACGGTGCAACGTTACCGGGAAGCGAGAGTCGAAGTCTAACTGGCAGTCACGACAGTGGAACGCCAGGTTGGCCATTGATCAAGAATTGTGGGGATGGCAGCGTGGGGAACCCCGCATCAGCAATCCACACAGACCGTGAGAGACTTTAACTTAGGCTTGCAGATGCAGTTTGCACAGAGGGATCATGAAAGTTGTGCGCAGAGTGTGTCACAGACTGCAAGCAATCAGCAATATGCACAATCCGTTGACAAAAATGCACCATCAAGCTGAGAAAGCACTGCAAATGGGCCAGGCAACTCCACAGAAGACTGCTTATGACGAATCACACGGCGCATTAGAAAACTGATGGCCACATTCTGGTGCTCTCACAGCCTTAATGCGCCATTACCCGTTCCTTATCATCAGGAAAAGAATGCGATATTGTCAATTAGCTACTCGAGGATAACGTACGCTATCATTCCAATGACAGAGTACTCTGAGTACTGTAATAAACAGGAAAATATGTCTACTGAAAAATTGTCAAAAGTAATCGCTTATGGCTTATAACATCAGCATTTGGAGGGGGGACTCTAGGACTGCACATGCAGCTAGACCCTGCTAGGGAATAAATAAACAAATGCGATATTTAGCTATTAGTTTTTACGGCTTTCAGGATTATGGAAACAAAATTCACAGGACGCCATCAAAATCATGCATAAAATTGATAAAAAGCCAGCAGGATCAGAAAGGCTAAAAGCGTACTTACACCTAACTGACTTAAGTTACGAGATATACAGTACTATCTGTACAGATACAGCTGTGTTTCAGTGCGCGGTGAATGATGCAGCCGTAGCTCGTACAGTCGTACTGCATGTTTGACTGACTGTGACCGTCACTGACTGAATCAGCTGTTTTGCTTTACACACGCGTGACACGCCTACACGGCGCTGAATATCGTGTAGCTTATACCGTGAGCTTACTGACTCGTGAGCTATCGTATAGCTCAGACGCCGCGTTCACAACACCACAATGAATTAAAATTACTTAATATAATAATAACATACGTAAACCCAAGTACGCACTAGGCAGCACAGCCGAATGTTCGTTCGGTACTTCCAGTCTTGCTTAACCTAATAAATCAATAAATGCTTACGTTATAAGTTGAAACTTAATGAATAAACCAGGTACGTTCACGCAGAGGATACTTCTGCTTGAGACCCCTTAAATGCGTGAATTACCATTAATTTTGGTGCCTCCGACTGCTAACACTAACACTAGCTACTACATGTAGGCTTGTAGCTAGTGACAGGATAAGGCAGTTAAGATACGAGGCTCGTTAAGGCAAGTATTTACTAAATGAAACCGTAAGAAAAAGCGCGCCATGGCGTTTCCTTAAACAATAATTTAGCATGGCGAATGTCCGTTTTCAATTTAACTGGACTCGGAGCACGCAGCCCAATTCCGGCTGGGGATTTTGAGCCTGGTTGAAGGTTCTAAACAATATAGACGATCCGAAATCAATGTACTCGTAGAAGTGAGTATAGTGCACGAACGTCGACAGACTCGGCACTGTGAGCGGCACCGGACGTATAAACTTTGATCTTGTACAGTAATACAACATTGTTTAGTTTAGTCACTTTTCATAGTGTTTATTCGCTAGCATAAGTAAACATTCGGATAATACAGACCTTCATCGAAAACCAGGTTACCGGTATATTTAATTTTTGTATCGAAATACGAATTTCTTCCAAGAATTCCATTCTACGTGTGTAAAAATTAGCCCTTATTACAGCAGTTTTATCACAGGCGACCTGGCTAATGATAACACCATTCCGAATTGTTTGTGCCAAAGATGCGGTTGTTCCTAGAATGGATGACGCATGTCCATATTGGATGTGCATTTTATTACAGGCCGGCTGTTCGAAAGCAGTCACCGCCGGCAGTACATTCTTATCAGAACACTGCATATTCTGGGAACAGTTTGATACAACGAAGTGTATTGTACTGCACAGCGAAGTGTACTGGTTCACACAGAGATAATAATATATTATTATTTTATTCTTAGTTAGAAATTGTCATTTGTACTGAGTACGTACAGGTCCCTGGAACGAATGCTGTATAGGCTGGTTCCGGTTTAATACAAACTACTACACAGTACAATAAAAAACTGAAAATAGTACTGTACATCAGTAATTTTTAACGTTTCAGTGTTTCAACGGCGATATCAGTGTGCTTTAAGATGTATTCAAGCATATGTATTCAAATAATAGTTCCTTTAGAACCTGCAATACCTATTTAAAAGATATCAGTAATAATTAGGAAAGTAAACCTCTAGAAAAGCGAAAACAGTTCATCGAGATTGCGACTGCACTCGACTGTACCAAGAACACAGGCAGCGTTGCCCCGTTGTATTTCTAAACTGCAACGCTGCAACAAAAACTGCTTCGCACGGCTTTCTCCAGTCTGCTCCCGAATACGTTTGGCCAGATCCGAGATAAAACCACTAGTGCTTGGTCCACAGGATCCCATAGTTTCGAAAGCAAAAGGCTGTACAATGAATCGATCCCTCAACTTCTCATATTTTCCCAGTTTTCGAATCTCAGCGGCTTCCGCGGCAGCGCCAGGGTGGTCAGAAGTTTGGCCAATATATGTTGCCGCTAGCGTGTCAGCTACAGTGACATCCCATACTAAAGGTTTTCCATATTGCCAAGGATACAGGGTCATGCCATCTGGTCGTTTTCCAGTTTCCCTATCAAGTCCGGGAGGTTCCAAAATGGCGGATACTTTCGCAGATCCACACGCCCGCTGAATTATGTTGTTGAGCGCGCTGTGGCGCCGGATTCGTCCTGCACTTTTCTTACAGCAAAGGCCATGATGACCGTACCTGTCAACCATTTCGCCACAACGGCATATGTGCTCATTACATATAAAAGCACCTAAGCGTAAAGCCACAGCTACTCGTAAACTAACATCATCAAGAAGGTTTCCTAAACTGGACACAGGCAGCGCCGACAACCATGCAGAAGACTCTTTTGTAGACAGGGCCAACAAGCAAGCTTTAGCGATAACGTCGGCATTGTCCACTAAGAGACGGCGCATTTTGTCGTACATCACACCGGTCCACGCTGACTGGAAACGACGGCTCGGCATAGGCGGTGGGTCTTCTCCAAGTTTCTCCTGATAAACCTTAACCACATTTTCTCTAAGGCTTTGACCAGTATCCGGGACAATCTCACAGACCAGAGGATCCGTAGCATAACACGAAGATAGATATGCAGGCAACGCTACATCCTCCGCCCTACAAAGGCCGATTCCTCCAAGGCGATCAGGTAAAATCGCTTGTCGCCACACGGTGTCGGACATTTCTACATTCGTAATTTCTTCCGCTTTTCTCCTCACGGTATCGTCAAACAGGCGCAGTTTATCTGGACACTTCCAACACGGGGCGCACCTAAGAGTAAACAACAATCTCGGCAGCGAAAGGCTGTTCTTCAAAAGGAACAATGACTGATGCGCTGGCAACACACCGAGCAGATCAGTCAGACGTCGTATCTGACCAATCTTTCCATCTAACACTCGCCCAATCGCCAAATCAGTAAGTGGTGCACCAAGGAGGTCCAGCTGCTCCGACGAAACCAGCAGAATCTCAGGTGAAATAGAGTGAAAACTTTCAATGACTTCTTTCCACTCCGATTCAGTGCCACCAAAAACGTGCAGCTCGCATTTCGACAAATTCAACTGCAAGCCGAGTGTGCGTGCTTTTTCCAATATAGTCATGAAATCTCCCAAAACGGTATCCGGATCCCCGCCGCACGTGCCGTCATCCAAAAACCAGATGTTTAATTCGGACTGTAATTCTCTGGACAAATTAGCCGAGATCAAACAAAACAGTAACGGGCCAAGTGGATCCCCTTGCTGGATACCATGGGCAGAGGCAATAATTTGGTCTCCACAAAACAATGACGACGGTGTGCTGTATGCCGCGGAGATAAACGCATAATATTGAGGAAGAACTTCCGCCACTTTCTTCAACATCACATCTCTGCGGACCGTGTTAAAAGCGTTAGCAAAATCAAGTTTTAACACAACCTGTACTTCAGAACAGTCATCCCGTACAAATTTACGAGCAGCATGTACGGCCGCTTCTGCACCTCCACGAGTACCGTAACCGAGCTGCACGGGACGAAATAGTTCTCCTATCTCATCTTGAACGCATCGGCTGATAACTTTTCCAAATATCCGCCGCAATGTGCAACCGCAAGCTATGGGACGAATACCTCCGTTTTTCTTTAATAGAGGCGTCAACATTCCACCAAAGAACACTCTCTTGGCCGCCGCAGGGATGTTTCCGGATAGAGCTAGGTTGGCCAGTTTGGACAGGGCCGACAGTAAGGACTCCCCTGTTTCTCCAGGCACACTCACCATCTCCTTCAAATGCTGCGGGCGAAGACCATCAGGTCCCGCTGATGAGCCTGCAGGAAAAGATTTAACAGCGACAAGAATCTCATTCGGAGACACATTGTGAGCAACAGGTTGAACGTCACAGACCGTTGTATCCAGATCCGCTGGTGGATCTGGATGTTTATCACGTAACGCCTTAATAACGTCTCCCGTCAGCGAAGCAACCGTATCTTCAGACGTCAGAACTTTAACAGCACCGCTGATGTCACCATCCTGCAGTTTGGCATTCACCAGTTTGCGTAAGGTTTCATCAGTGGTCTTCTTCTTGCTGGTCTTATTACGGACAGTGTTAGGGAGAGGAGAATCTGCAGATGTGCCGCGCAAATTCGCCTTCACCGACGCAGCTAGGGAAGGTCCTCGTCCAGCTTTGGCAGGGGGAGCGTGGAGGTTGTCTAGTGGAAACAGCAACAATTTGGCCCAAGACTCTTCATCATTCTTACTGCACACGTCATTGACTGCAGCCGTGTAGGATTCTGCGCAGGCGCGCCTGGCTCCTGCTGGAATGTGACGAAGAATGGGGTGCTTTTTCCGAGCTGCAAATATACGGGTTTCGATGGTCTCAAAAACTACTGTAGGAGCGGATGATCCAGGATATTGTGGTGCTTGACGGAGATTCTTCGCTTGAGCAGTACGACAAATATCAGAGGCCCGATGTCTGCTCAATCCGTGCTTAGTCGCACACACTTTTCCACACAGATCACAAACGAAAGACATAATGACATGATACTTCACTCACAGGATTTACTTATTATTTACTTACAATATTTCATAAAAATCATGGTAGATATTAACCAACCAACAAATTAACCAAAGTAGATATTTTGAAGACCTCTGCACGTACTATGCAAAAGGAACTATTATTTGAAGACGCAAGTTTTACACTAATAAGCATATGTATTGAAGGCTGCAGATCCCGCATAATATAAGCACTTACTATTCAAACCGGTATACGACTGCACCAACTGTAAATGTCTGTAAGGCTAGTGCATACATAATTATTGTAACAGGTTAATATGTATTGGACATTGTACAGTAGTGCAGATAAATGACATTATTAACCGTTCAATGATATCACTGGAGCGCCAAGTACGTACTTTCTTTTCTTGTGTAGTGACTAGTGAGCTTACCATGTCCACGTTGCAGCCTACAGCAGTGTACAGCAGAAGGCAATTTTAATACTTATTACACATAGAATACGGATATCTGCTTTTTTCTTACACTGCATTAATGGTACGTACGATACAATAACATTTTTTACATCATTCTTTGACACGAGTTGGGCTGTTTGTGAAAAAAAATGGAGGTTGTGCCAAGAGACCGCTTGCAGATGGAATTTCTGCTAGGAAATGATGGCTGCGACCCGGATGACAGTATTCTACCTGAAAAGCACGTTATGGGCAGTGATTGCCGGTACTCCTATAAAGACAGTGATTATGTTGCACGAGGGACATTTGGGGTAGTTTATCAAGCCCGAATTATTGAACGGGGAGATTTTACCGGAGAAGAGGCCGTGGCGGTTAAAGTGGTCCATCTGCGCAAAGAGTCAGAAGTGCTATCCAGTGATAACAACTGGAAGAAATGGTGTACAAGCTTGTCCCGTAATTTCCATCGCATCAGAACAGCGAACATTACAAATTTACGTGTTGCGCGTAAATCCGTACTACGGCGCGCCACGCCACACTGTTTAAACACGTAACATGCATTTGGCTGGCTAGTGGCTTGGTACACGCCATATAATTCAATGAGAATAACAGTAACTGCCTGGCGTAAGATGGCTAAGAAACGGTCGGTGTGGTAATGGACAATCTAACTACGGAGCGGATTTAGGCAATCAGATAAGCGTAGTAACGTGGCCATCGTTTCAAGCGCAAATTTCGCGCTAGCTGTACCTTTACGATGGAAATTACGGGACAAGCTTGTACACGGCTGAAATCACTGTTGACCATAAAGCATGTGCATCTAATAGAATATCATAAGATCGCCGTCACCCGAGCAAGAGGCGGAGCATCGGTGGAATTTATGATGGACTATTATTGTGGTACGAGTACAACGGTTTATTAATAAATTTTCTAGCGTTTGTGCTGTTGATTGGATCACCATGTACTGTACATGGTACCAAATTCCTATACATACGAGAAAAAAACATGAAAACGTATATGCATGAAAACTGCCGATTTTGCGCACTATAAACAGGTTTGCTTTATTTTATGACGTTCTGTACTCGTAGCCAGATAATTCGTGCGCGCAACATTCGGTTCAAAAGTTATGGCTGCACGAAGATTCCTAAAAGTTTAAATGGATTCAATTAGCAAAAGGCTCATTATGGATCAATCTCCTTTAAAGTTTGCATAGAACGCACATATGCACGAAGATCTATTTCAGTTTTCACAAACCAAGGTATTTGCATTTTTTCCAAAACTGAATTTTTGAAATTTTAGTATTCATTATAAAATTCGAAAATGCGCAGAAGTGCAAGTTATCGTGAATTATACGAATTCGCGCCATGTATCTGTACCGGGTCACTTCCCCTAAAACATCTCTACTCGAATGGCGTATGAGCGCTTCGAGCGAGCTGACGACTGTCCAAGTGGGGAAAAGGATGCAAGGTCACGATTCACGAAGAAGCTGTCATTAGAAGTGAGAAACACCAGATCATCACTGTGCGGCCAGATCAAAGGTCTAAATTAATTAAAACGTCCCGCACGATCGAAAGGAAAACGATCAGGTTTAGAAATAGAATGGGCAGCTTCCGGTAAATGTGCCCGCTCCTGCTATGCTCATGGTATGCTGGTCAGAGCAGATAGCTGCACTGCAACATGGTGAACCGTTCTTTTCTAACTCCACTATCTGTACAATTATTTTAATTTCTTAGCCGGCGATTTGGGCTCCATGATTCGCCGCTTTAAACGAAATTCCGTACTGCTAAACCCCAGCAGAGCTTCCCGCTACATGATGGAATTAACAGAAGGAGTCAGTTTTCTCCATGCGAACAACATCATTCACGGTGATCTCAAACCAGCAAACGTCCTTATCAAACACGTGGACCGAGATCAAGACAGGCTGTTAATTGGTGACCTGGACGACATTGTCAAAATGCATCGCGACAGCACGTGCTCCGGAGACATTACGCATCTTCGCGGTACACTGCGGTACATGTCACCAGAGATGCTGAAGAAATTCGCCGCAATTACAAACACCAGCGAATCTCCTGGAAGAAAATCTGATATCTGGAGTTTGGGTTGTATGATGCTGGAGCTAGCCAACTGCGTAACGGGAAACCATGCGCAATGGCTGCACAACAAATATGAAGTAATCACAGCGGGAAGTACCATTGGCGATGAACGCTATACCAAATTGATTATCGATGGATACTTTCCGGTTGTGTCTGAAGCTGTTGCGGCGGATTTTGCTGTTTGCATAAAACGCTGTTTATATGTATCTAGTAAAATGCGGATCAACGCCAGGAAACTGTTACGAGTACTGGCCCAAGCAAAAAAGGAAGAAATACGGGAGATGCACATCCTGTTCCACGGAGACTGGGCGTTCCATAGTAGCTCCACGATGACAGCTCAGCTGTTTGATCCCGTGTCTTATAAGATGACTCACTTACGTTTACCGAAGGGTCTGGAAGATAAACTATTCTGCGATGGCTTTACGACCGTTGGTAATGAGATCCTCTGCCAAGTACAGGATAAAAACTGTGGTCAGATTGATACGATTGCTTGGAACATTGGAAAACAGGCTTGGCGACGGATACGCTTGGCTGATCCGCTGGGTTACATGAGGTGCCCCATAGCAGTGCAAAACAAAATATTTTTTTGGGATGAGAATGATCAGTTACCAGCGCTGAGGGTAGCGGACACGGACAGCGGAGATTTCGGAACGGTCGCCGGGCCATCAAGCATAAAGCGGTTAATTCAAGTACGGTACAATGTGCCACGTGGAACCAAAAATTGCCCGTACGGTCGTTCGAATGGCCACCTATAGTAAGTGAATGGGAGATGGTCGACGTTGGTGGTTCAAAGTGACACCATTTAATACATCTTCCACAACCGATTTCCTTCCGTTTTTTTTTTGCTTAAACGTGTTCAGCATAGCCGTACCCTATATATAGTACTTGGAAGTTTTTTGCTTCACCTAATTGAGCAAGCGTACGCTGTACACAGTACTTATACACAGCACTGTGCGGGATTGGGTAAAGTAAAAAACCGGAAGGAAATCGGTTTGTGGAAGTTGTAATAAATGGTAGTCATTTGAGCGACAACCTTCCATTCACTTACTACAGGTGGCCAATGAACGATCGTACAGATACTACGGTACTAGTAGGTATTTCGTTTTGACGGATACTGAGCAAGCTGGCGGTTTTCTGTTCGAAACCAGTGCTGACAGGTTATGCGCATGGATGTGTTCGTGCTGCACAATGTTTGTCGAATTTATTATTTAATTTTCGAATGCCGAACCGGTTAGTCGGGTAACCCGGTATCTTTCTGCATTTTCAGTGCTACGTTGTAAATGGTCTGCCTAAAGAGAAACTTGTAGAAATACACCCAAAATCGAGCATACATTTTTAATTTTTAGGATACGCTCTATTATTCGTGGAGTATTGTGTGGCGACAGAATTGTCTATATGGGAATGCCCGTGGCCGATTGCTCCAATAAAATGATCACGCTCTGTCTTGATACAACACGAATGAAGTGGGAGGATCTACCTGATTTACCGGAAAAGCGGTTTGGTTTTGCCATGATAGGATTGTACGGACACGTGTACATTCTGGGCGGTTGGTCGGCCGGCCATGGACCAGCGCCGTATTGGCGCCTGAGTATGCGATCTCGCACCTGGGAGCAAGGCCGCTGTCAGCTGGGTTCGTGGATGCAGCATGGTGCGTTTACAGTGCACGATCGCATCTATTTGTATGGCGGTTGGAGCTACAATAAAAGTGCAGCATCCGAAGAGATGGGCCTGCTGGACGTTGACCAAGATGTGTATTCTAACCAGACGCTTTCGAAACTGCCTGTCTGCGGTAGGAAACGATTTTCTCTTAGTACGAGAACTGCTTGTCTGAATCTGACAGCATCAACGGCAGAATTTTTGATTGACCGGTCGTAAATAACTCCGCTCATTGTTATTTATTCCTTTTCTACTTATCCTGAAGAACAAATAAAGTACATATGTAAAAAAGTGTGGGCTGATCTGAATCATCTGATTATGATCTGAGCATGGTGCTTGCTATGGAATTTTGCTTCGAACGAAACGTTAACGTCCTAGATACTTTCGTGCATAAGTAGCGCGCCAAATGAAAAATTCATAATAATTATATAACTCGTACCGATACAGGCTGCATATATTACTCGTCTGACTTCTTTGCCAGAAAACACGTGAAAACAGCTCGACTATCTCATAAAAATTACAAAAAACTACCTTCAACCAAAGATCAGTAAAAATAATCAATACGGAACGCCGGCATACGTTGATATGTACTAATAATGTACGTGCTTAAATAAATAATTTTCAGTTATTCTTCGGACAACATTTTTTCACTTGGTCGTGCACATGACTGATGCACTTCACTGAATATTTGGTTAGTTTATGCACAGCGCATGTGATTTGTGAACAAGACAACGTATCCTTCGATTCACGGTCACTAACCGCAGTAACCGGCAACAACATGTACTGGACTGGGTCAGAGTGACTATAACTGCAAAGTGCAATGTTCGCAGTCTGCACTCATAATACGAAATTACATACCGTAACTGAGGCCGACTTCGTATGAAGAAAGTAGAGAATCAGGCATCCGGTTGTGGGTTAATCCGCTTGCTTTAGGCAAAAAGAAAGGAAATCCCAGAGCGAC